GAGTGGGCGTAAGTCCGCGACCACTCTGGGTTTTCTCGCGGTCTCCGTTTGTCGCCATACGATGAAAAGAGGACAGGCAATCGGGATTGGCTTGCCGTCAGCCCAATCCATCTTTCCCTCGGTGTGAAGTTGGCCGTAGGTTTCGTCTAAAACCGCGAGGTCTTCGAGACCGAGTGGATAAACCTTTATGTTGGTTTTTTGGTTCTGCCATCCGTCGACGAGGTCGATTCGCATACGTTCCTCGTCGGGGAGTGGTATGATACCCTTGTTGTGATAGATATCGTACCTGTCGAGGATTTTCCGCAGTTGTTGCGCGAATTCCTTGTCGAAGTCACATATCTCGACGCCGTGCTTGCTGAGAATCACTGGCACGTCGTCTGGTTTAGAGATTCCGTAGTCTGGTATCTCGTCTATCCATGGTTTGGTGCTTCCTTCTGGGGTGCTTTCCTCGTTAGTTATGTTGAATATTGCGTTGTCCTGCTTATTTTCAGCTTCGAGGTCGCTGAGCAGGATACTCGTGTCCCCTGGTGGTTGTTTCGTGAGGTGACCGATACGGTGGCCTTTGGGGATTCGCATTTCTGAATTTCCTTTATTATGGATGAGAAATAGCGCTGGGGTCGCGAGATCTACCGTACTGTAGATCGCTGCCTCATGTGTTGGGTGGAAGTGCCAGGTCTCGCTCCCGTCGTTACTATCCCTTGGCAGAGGGCTGTATCGTCCCGGGACGAAGACTTGACTCTTCCGTGGAATTGTTACTGCGTAGGCGTTGTCCACGCGCCTGGCGGGTGGCGTCTGCCGTCGATACTCAACGGGCGCCTCCATATTAAATACGGATCGAAACTTAACAACAGACTTGTTGAAGTCTACGACGAGACCGTGTTCCTCACAGAAGGGGGTGCCGAGCAATAGGTTTGCTCCGAGCATGTTGACAACCCCTGCTGTGACAATAACGTGTGCGTTCACGTCTGTCTCGCCTATTTTACCAGGGACGTAGAAGTCAAATGTTACTTCTTCTGTGACCTGGAAGGTGGAATCTACGGCGTTCATTTTCCTTGGTTCGATCGCTCGAAAAGACGATTTGCGGGCGAATCGTGTGACCCAGGACTTTTCAACTAGTATGGTTGAGGCTCCTGTGTCGATACACACCTCGTCTGGTTCGCTATTGTCGTCGGCTTTGACGTGGAGTCGAAGGTGTGTTCTTTTCGAGGGCATGCCACGCTTATTCGGTTTCGTCTGAGCGTCGATGATTTGGCCTGGTGCTAACTTCGGCAACTCTCTGATTTCGTGGTTTTTCACGGCTACTCCAGCGAAGTCGCTAGGCAGCTCCGTCTGGGGCTCTGTTTGACACGCCGTCGTGACTACCGTTACTTCCTCTTGTATTTGAGGAGATGGGGGAGGGATCTCTGCCTTGGGAGTGGTCGCCTCGTGGGCGCGGAAGGCAACGTCACTAGTCCATCCTGTATGGGCTACCTCTTCCTCTTGTGGTTGTGCCGCTGGAACTTCTACGACGTCTTCGAGGATATACCCGTGATCGACGAGGTGATTGATCATGTCCTCGTCCGATTCGTCTTCCCACACGAACTTAGCGTCGTTAGGCGGTTGACCCGGACGGTTATACCGGGCGAATCGCCTTGAGTTCGGGAACTTCTGCTGTGCGTTCCAGGGTTTGCGGTCTTTCCAGTTTTGTTGTTTCCAGTTAGGTTGCGTTTTCTTTTGTTGCCATTGGGGCTGGTCACGTTGTAGCTGGGGAAAATCGCGTTTCTCTTGGTTCCTGTTGTTCCAGGCTGGGCGTGGTTCTCCCCATAGAGCGTTATCCTCACTGTCTGGGGCGGTTGTGTGAAGAACCTCGATTGGGGTCTGCAGGTATCTTCGAATAACTCCGCGTTTTTCCTCGGCGAGTCTGAGATAGCTCTCAACCGTATCATTAAGCGTTGGTTCGTGGAGAAATCGTTGCAGAGATGGGTCCAGAGCGTTGTAGAATATCGTGAGTAGTTGCTGCTGGGGCGTTGACGATCCCAACCATGCTCTGCCATATTTGAAGCAGTCTTGGGCGAATAATCGGATATCCTTGTTGCTACCGATCTTTTCTACGGTGAACTTGTTGGATACTACCCATTGGATTGCTTCTATCTGGGTTGGCCCGAAGCGGGCTCTCAGTCCCTTCTGCAGGCCGAACCATCCCTGGGCCTTGTACTGGTTCCTTTCCACGGGCCCGAGGTGATATTCCCACCAGCTGAGTGCTTTGCCTCTAAGTAGGCTCTGCCATTCTCTGAAGACCTCGTCTCGGGCGTGAGGATCAACGATCTTGGCTTCGATCGCCGAGAGCCATAGGTCTACGTCTCGGTAGCATGGTGTCTCTCGGTCGTGGAATATGGGCTCCCTGCCGTACTTGCTGTCGGCGTCGGGCCAGAATACTCCGTATCGTTGCTGAATGTTCGTTATGGCCGCGAATCTCCTCCCTGGGTTCGGTAGTTCCGATCCCGGCGTTGCCGTGCCCAACAGCCTTCCGAACGCGTTTATTAGCATTGCCTCGAACTGCTGCTGCATTTGAGGGGGCGGTGGAGTCTGGAAGGATGGAAATCCCGTTGCCATTGGGTATGGCATCTGCCCCTGAGGGGGAAGGTATCCTCCTGTGCCGGGGGGCATATATTGCTGTTGAGGATTCCATCCCTGGCTCGGTATAAATTGCGTTCCCTCCGATGGGGTCCCCATGACTCGTGCCTCCGTTTTTGGAGGAATAACCTCGGCTTGCGGCGGTTTCGTATATTGTTGTTGATTTGACGGTCCTACTTGCTGAAAAGTTTGTTGAGGTTGGCTTGCAGTTGTATCCGATACCGCTGACTGTGGCTTTTGGGGGTCTTCGTGATTCCCCTCGTATTGGCCGTGCTTGAGTGGTGCCCCAGGAGGTTGTTGCTCTTGCTGTTGAAGCTGTGTTGGCGGCGTAATTGGCCCTGGTTCGGTGGTTTCGTTGTTTCTCACGGGTTGCTTGCCTTTCGTGATGTCTAACTCTTCCGAGCTTGGTTCTCCGAATTGTCCTTGAAGGTCCTGGAGTTCTCGGGCGTAGATAATCGCCCTGGCGATGCTATTTACCGCCTCGTTATAGTCGTAATTCTCTATCCTCCAGCTGTCTTCGAGTTGCGTTGCCTGAGTCCAGGTTCTATCGTCGTATCTGACGTCGATTCGGCCGATATTCGTATTCCACGCGATGAACGCTATAACACTCGTATATGCTCGGAAGGAGTCTGAAATTCTTGTTGTTTTGGGATCATCGGGATATGTCTCCCAATATCGTAGGAGACGTCTCGCTGTCTCGCGATGACCGTTGTTTAACCTCGGGTTATTTGCGTAACTCATCGTGTAAGTCTACGTTGGCTACGTCGAGGTATGGGTTGTGATTTTGAGCGAGTAGGCTCGTAGGGTGTTTCCCTCGAGATTCTCCGCGATGTATCGCGGTTGAATCGAGAGAAAAAATTGATCGAGATTAAGTTGTGCTACCACTTGTCACAGTTCTTCCTGCTAGCACGTGGCTACAACAGGCAGAGGTCGGAACCGTGATAAGAACAGAGATGTAAATAGAATGATGCAGAAGTCAAACAAACGGTCACAAGGCAATAAACAACGATGAATTGATAAACGTAGGTATAAGCAGTTGGTCTTCTATTGAGTTGGTCTACTGACGATGATGCTGTCGAGGGCGTCTCTTATACGGGTACGGCCAGCACGTGAGATATCACGTGCCCCTGATGACTGTTCATAGAACTGTGACACACAAGAACCTCCTTCAAACGCCGTGCAGGACGTACCAGAGTTAGTTTAACCGACTATTGCTATAGTAGTAGAGACTAGTATATCACCACCTCGGGTATTATCACTATTTGCGCATTCGCATTCACCTTCGCTGCCAGGATACGATTCACCTTAGGCGATATACGGACGGTACTATGCAGCAAGAAGCGCCTGGTACGGTGCTCAACCTCGTGGGAGTGTTAAAACAAACCAGGAGTATCGAAGGGTAATAGGACTTCCGCTACGTTATGACAAAAAGTGTTATAAGTAGTGTCTTGACTATAAGCAGATGAAAGGACGCTACACTACCTTACACGGGTCAAGGGATTGGACGAAGGAGGAGATGATGGCTTATCTGGACTGGGATAGGGCTAAACACAAACGGGTCGATGAGCTGATTATTGCGGAAGATGGACAAAACCCCTTTAAAAACAGTGAGAGAGGTATGAGCGAAGTCTGGAAACGAGTCGAGCAAGATAAGGCAGAGCAGGAGGCGTTATACGCTGGTAGTAAGCCCGAAGAGTGTATCGTAGTAAAGTCGTAAACTTTCCGGATAAGTTTGATGCAGGCCGTGCCTTTCATTGGCTCATGAGCCCTATATCAGAGTTGCTTAGTCATTTCCACGGGTACCCGTGAAATTTTACACGCACGGGTACCCGTGAACCTATTGGGAGCCCACCACCGTGATTGATAGTCAGCGCGTGCTAGCAATTACCCAACCACAGAAAATGGCCTGTGCTTTCTTTTTTGTCCTTCTCCCCCCACTTTTGAGGAGTTAAATGTGAGCCTCTGCGAGGCACGCCCACTACACTTACAAGGGGTACTGGCTGTTCAATTAAACGCAGAACGCGGCGACGCGGTTACGCGACTCCACGATCTTTCCCGACGCGCCTCCCTGTAGCACTGCCGAACCCCAGGACTGCCTCCAGTCTGAAAAAGGTATACACCCACCTACGCATAGCTACTGCCGCCTTCTTCCTCGTCCCTCTTTTAGCTTCTGACCAGGAGGACACCAACGCTCCGTTTCAATAGCGGGTGTCTGTTTGTTTTGTCAATTTGCCTCCCACTTCCACCACTATTCTTCCGCTGACCTGCCAAACCCTAGGGTGGACAGATCAAACTTGTCGCCGTCTTGATTTGTTTTCTTGCAAGACTTCCCTTTATTTGTCCTTCTCCCAAACGAATAACAGTCCGATTCGAGAGACGTCGCAGCCATGGGAGACAAATCTTCCCCAGCCGCTCGCACGCCGGCTAAAACTCCCACCTCGCTCAAGCGGCAGCCATCTTCAGCTGGGGGTACTCAAAAGACCATCATGCAGTTCTTTTCTAAGCCTGCTAGTTCTGTCTCTCGTTCAACCCCCAAGGCTGCTGCACCGGCTCCCGACTCGTCCCCATGCTTGAAAGAGTCGACGCGAACGAACTCGCTCCCCAAGTCTAAGCCACCTCCGAGCTTTACCCCAGTACCCAGTAGCGATGCTCTGGAACCTTCGAGCTCCCAGGAAAACATAGGCAGTACAGGACTCAAGGTAGCTCATGACTTCTTTAAACTGCCGTTTACTCCAGCTAAACATGGCAAATTTGCAGATCTCAAGTACCAGACCAATTCTGGCATCCTCGAGCCCTACGCGCAAGGTGAGTTTCTTCTGCTCCTTTTAACCACACGTTGATGAGTTGTAATCTGACTTGTCTCTTTTTTAGTCGAGAAAGCCGGTTAATTATGCAGAACCATCCGACGACGAAGACGAAGACCCATTTGTTCGTATTCGAGCTGCAGGCTCGCGCAGCCGCACTAAGACACCAGCTGTACCGGTTGACGATGGCGATGACTATGAGGACGCCGAGAGCAATGATGCAGTCGATGAGGATGATGGTAAGGTCATGCCGCCGGTACGAGGTTACAATATGTTGACTTGAACATCAGAAATGGCCGATTTCGTCGTATCTGACGAGTCAGACGGTCCATCCCGCTCCAAAAAGAGGAAGCGCCGTGACACTACCAAGACGACCCAATCACGAAAGAAAACAACGGTCTCGTCTCCTATCAAAGAAGAAGAGCATTACGAAGAGGACGAGACTATGGAAGAAATACCGTCCACTTCAACGGCCCAGAAGTGGCGCTATGATCCAAACCATGTTGCTTCCGGTAGCCCTCGGACCTCCAATAGTCCCGCAATGCGCCGACCAGCAGTCTCTAATCGCAAGGAGAAGCCTCACACCAAAGAGCCCGAGGACCGCTATCCTTGGTTGGCCAACATTCAGGACATCAACCGGAACCCCCCCGGTCATGCTGAACACGATCCTTCTTCCATCTACATACCTCCCGGAGCGTGGAACAAGTTCTCACCATTCGAGAAACAATACTGGGAGATAAAGCAGAAGCTCTGGGATACTGTCGTCTTCTTCAAGAAGGGAAAGTTCTACGAGCTTTACGAAAACGATGCGACCATCGGGCATCAGCTTTTTGATCTGAAGCTCACTGATCGTGTCAACATGCGCATGGTCGGTGTTCCCGAGAGCTCTCTCGACATGTGGGTCAACCAATTCGTCGCCAAAGGCTACAAGGTTGCCCGAGTCGATCAAATGGAGTCTGCTCTGGGTAAAGAGATGAGGGAGAGAGATGACTCCTCCGCTAAGGGAAAGAAGGCCGACAAGATTATCCGCCGTGAGTTGGCTTGCATTCTGACAGGAGGTACTCTTGTAGACGGAAGTATGTTGCAGGATGATCTGGCGACGTACTGCGCTTCTATCAAGGAGTCAGTCATCGACGGCAACCCTGCGTTTGGAATCACGTTTGTGGACTGTGCAACTGGACAGTTCTTCATTTCAGAATTTGAAGATGATGCCGACCTGACAAAGTTCGAGACTTTCGTTGCCCAGACCAGTCCTAGAGAGCTCATCCTGGAAAAGTCTCGGCTTTCGACCAAGGCTATTCGAATTCTCAAGAATAACACATCTCCGATGACCATTTGGAACTATCTCAAGCCAGGCACTGAGTTTTTGGATGCCGACATGAGCCGCCGAGAAATCACAAGCAGTGGATACTTTTCAAAGGAAGACGACGATGACGAGGTTTTGCCGGAGACTCTGGCGCAAGCCCAAGGCAAAGATCTGCTCATGTCCGCTCTTGGTGGCTTGATTCATTATCTCAAGTTTTTAAAGCTTGAAGGAAGCCTGCTGTCGCAGGGCAATTTTGAGTGGTATACCCCTATTCGCCGCAACGGCACGCTCATCTTGGATGGCCAGACATTGATCAACCTGGAGATTTTCTCCAACACTGTGAATGGCGGGCATGAGGGCACCCTCTTCACATTACTGAATCGATGTGTCACACCATTCGGCAAACGTCTGTTCCGCCAGTGGGTGTGCCATCCACTTTGTGATATCCAGCGGATTAATGAGCGGCTTGATGCTGTCGACATGCTCAACTCTGACCGAGGTGTACGAGAGCAGTTTTCGTCACAGATGACCAAGATGCCAGACTTGGAACGCCTGATTTCGAGGATTCACGCCACACTGTGCAAGCCAGAGGACTTCGTGCGCGTACTGGAAGGGTTCGAACAGATCGAGTACACTATGGGACTGTTGGGTGCCTTTGGTGGAGGTAACGGCCTCGTCGACCGGCTTCTCTCTTCGATGCCTAACCTGAGCGAACCTCTATCCTACTGGAAGACGGCGTTCGATCGAAAGAAGGCCAGAGATGAACGGTTGCTCATTCCTGAGCGCGGCATTGAGGAGGATTTCGACAACAGCCAGGACCGTATCGAAGAGATCAAACAGGAGCTGCAATCGCTTCTAGGGAGCAAAAAGTCAGAACTGAAGTGCAAGGCCATTAAGTTTACTGATATTGGCAAGGAGGTGTACCAAATTGAGGTTCCCAAAGCGGTCAAGGTGCCGAACAATTGGCGCCAAATGTCAGCAACCGCGAGCGTCAAGCGTTACTACTTTCACGAGCTCACGGATTTGGTTCGAGAACTTCAAGAGGCAGAGGAGACTCATTCTCAGATTGTTAAAGAAGTTGCTGTACGCTTCTTCCGGCGTTTCGACGCTGACTATGAGACTTGGGCCCAGTCGATCCGAATCATAGCTCAGCTTGACTGTCTCATCAGTCTTGCTCGGGCATCAGCGTCGCTAGGTGAACCTAGTTGCCGGCCGGAGTTTGTCGACCAAGAGAGGAGCGTTGTTGAATTCGAGGAACTTCGCCACCCTTGCATGCTAGACACAGTGGCCGACTTCATCCCCAATGATGTCAAGCTGGGAGGTCAAACCGCCAACATCAACCTGCTGACCGGTGCGAACGCTGCTGGCAAGTCAACTGTACTACGAATGGTAAGAATAGTCTGTTCTAAATAGTCCACACGCTAACCATGTCACCTAGTCTTGTATTGCAGTTATCATGGCACAAATTGGATGTTATGTTCCCGCCTTGTCCGCAAGGCTTACTCCAGTTGACCGTATCATGTCACGGTTGGGTGCAAACGACAACATTTTTGCTTCACAGTCGACTTTCTTTGTCGAGCTGTCGGAGACGAAAAAGATTCTGTCGGAAGCCACTCCACGATCTCTAGTTATCTTGGACGAGCTTGGACGTGGTACCAGCTCTTACGACGGAGTAGCTGTTGCGCAAGCTGTTCTGCACCATGTAGCCACACATGTAGGCTGCATGGGCTTTTTCGCAACTCACTACCATTCTCTCGCCACGGAATTCGAGAATCACCCTGAAATCAGACCACGCCGCATGCAGATCCATGTTGATGAAGAACAGCGTCGCGTCACATTTCTGTACAAGTTGGAGGATGGTATCGCGGAGGGCAGTTTTGGAATGCACTGTGCAGCCATGTGTGGCATCTCTAATCGTGTTATTGAGAGAGCCGAGGTTGCAGCTAAAGAGTGGGAGCATACTAGCAGGCTTAAGGAGAGCCTGGAAAAGGCCAGATCAGGTTGCTACATCCCTCTGGGTATGCTTAGCGACGTGGCATCGTTACTCAACGGCGGTGATGAAGTCGGCAAAAGGGGTGTCGAGGTCTTGCTTAAAGCTGTCGAGGCACTGTGAGCCTTGGATGGTGTGTTGGAGCGTATGTGTGCGGCCGGTGCTAGACCCAGAATGGCTGCTTGATATCATGATAATGTGGGTAGGGTTTGGGTGCATAGGAGTACTTGTTTGCATGGCTAGAAGGTAAAATAGTAAAAAGTGCGCATATGTACAGATAGAGATGTGTTTTGCTAGTTTCTTTGCCAGGCATTTACGCCTTCAAGGCAGTTGCTAATTTCAATCGAATGGCCGTGAAGTGGACCAAAGAGACACTTTGATGCACGTTGTATGTATTGGGAAGTCGGAATGTCATCGTCCTGAACCTAGGGGGGAAGAGTATTCGGAGTTTGTTGGGGCCCTCCCATGCGAACCTTACGCCCCACCTGATACACGCGATATTTGCAATCGTAAGGGTTAGAAGAGGCCGAATAAGACAGGGTGCAAACATGAGACCGAAGAAGACAAAGGAAAGGGGAACGGCAATAAGAACAATAGGGAGAATAAGGCTGTTACTTTGGACAAAGACGGCGAGGATTAGTTGAGTGGCTGAAGGGGGGGGGGAGAACAAGGATGAAGAGGACGAAAAGGGTATGTGGATGTCGCGAGTACGTCGACGACATGGCGGCAATGCTTCTTTAGGCTATGAGACGGTTGGTCGCTATGGACAAGGTGCCCTGCGGATGTGAATGAAGGTATCAAGACACGGGGTCTAGAATGTTCAGGGTATCAGTTTGTTGCCACACGCCGGCATTTTATGCAAAGAATCAATCGTTGTCTCGCCTCAACAGAGAGAGGATGGCTCAGGCTTATGATTCGGTTGTGCATGGCTCAATATTCTCTTCATTCAAGTTGCTACGTATGGCCCGGACACAGTATACTTTCCTCGATGGCTTCTCGCACAACACGACGTTTATGTTCTTAGTCCTCCTCCCTTAGTCGTACCTTACCCATACGATATAGGTTGGGTATGCTTGGAAATCCGCCTGAGCCGCAGCCACCCGTGTCCCAGGAACCGGATCGGAACGGCCGTAATAACTTCAATAATTACCACCAAGGCGCAATTCATGGCTTTTTTCTGTTTTTAGCCGCATCCCATTAAGGCAGCTGAAAAAGATTTTCACTTGGGGGACCGGATGGAAGTGAGTCTCAAACGCATGTGCTGTGTGAGAGCTGAGAAAGAAAACATTACCCCTGGCAGCAAGGGGCTCGGCGGCACGTCGTATCCGACAAGAATCTCTCCCAGTACAACTTCATCTCGTCAGCCAACAGAGCAACGGCATGAAATACGTGCAGAAGCCCAGTCTCGGGAGGCGTTGAGCCATGAATGGTGCGGTGGCCGATCTCCTGTCCGAGGTGGAATTAGCCGGCGGCGAGGTCGGGGCCGATACGCGGTTCGCCTAGTACGGGTTATTGCAGGACTACCATTAGGCGCCAAACTGCACAGAGGCAAGCGTTACATTCCCAGGTTCAAGGGTTGCCTGTTGCAGAGCTGCCAGGGAACGAACCCTTTATTCAACTGGCACAGAAACTCTTTATCTAACTCAACTGACCCGGTGGCCGGTGAGCTCGGTGAGGCGGCAGACCAGGGGAGTATGAGACGAGGGAGTAACAAGAGACCGGGGAACGGATTCCGAATCCTCCCCCACACTACCGGTCTCGGACTACCAAAACAATTGGTGCAATTGAGATTACGCATGAGCTGTCGCATGCGTTGTATCCTAGGCGATTGCTTAGCTGTGCTTGTAACCGACCCCTGATCTGCCCAAGATATCTCGCGCACGGAAGAAATTCCAAAAGCGTTCCAACCCGTCGTCCAAAACTGCAAATTTCGCGACCCAACATTGTCGAGGATACGAAGAAGTCTAGAACAACTTGCTCCTTCCTCTTCTCGGGAGATTCTCACGGCTGGAAGCGAGGAAGTACGTGCGCCACTTGGGTGTAAGGAATCTGAATGTCTGACCGCATAGGGCATGGATTCTGATCGCGTAGTTCTCTACAAAGTGCAGGTGTTCCGCTATTTGTGCCAGCTCGTCTCGACGGCAATATTGACGAGTCTCCAGGTATTTGCGCGCAAAGATAGAGATGGGGAATCCGAGAGAGGTTCATCTTTGGCCCGAAGACATTTTTTTTTTTTTTTTTTTTTTTTTTTTTGATGGGCAAGTGGCTTGGACTTTCGAAAGGGGTGTGTGTGTTTGCTGAGTGAGGCATCATTTCCCCATGATTCTTCATAGACCGCACCGCATTTCGACGACTCACAAAAGGGCCTCGATCCTCAGCCCGAAGGGGACCACCTTTAAGGGCCCTGCCAATGGATTCAAAGGCCAAGAGAAGATCGGCACCCTTCGATAAGCAGGTAATCATCACCACTTGATACCGTGTCTCAGGGGGTTGGGGCAAGGGAGGTAGGTATGCATGCCACAAACTGCGCGGTACATTCGCAAGCCATCGTGGGCCTGCTGTCGGTGATGAAGGAACCATCTTCTCAAGGAAGCCTCGCGTTGCTTCTTGCCCCCGCGCGAACAACGATGAGGCTTTTGCAGGTGTCTGGGCGCCCAGACAGCCATTCGACCGACGGAGGCACTGGATCGAGAATGAAGCGACGGTCACTACAAGGAGAATTTGGCGCCCCTCCCCAGACCTTGTTCCATGAACCAACCCGTTTAGGTTGCCTGCTTGGGGTAAAGTCCGGGCTTGACCGTCGCGCTAATAAGGGACGAGAAGCTAACGGCAAGAGACTGGTGGTGTTGGACATTAGTACATTGCCCTTGATCATCGGGCCTGGGAACGAGTCAGGACTCTTTGGCCGAGATGAGGACTCTGTTTAAATGGCAAACTTGACTGAGAAATACGCAGGACGCAACCCTGGCATGTAATGCTGCGGTGAGGGACCTGAAAATCCCAAGGGTGCACCAAGGAAAACAAGACAATGGCCTATACACCGGTGTTGGTGTCAGGAGTCGGGAAAGCATTCTGTTTTCGTAAGGGTTACAGCGAGTAGAACAGAGCAGGTGAGGAGCAACACAAAGGAGGACGGGCCATAGAGGACGGCAGCCTGACAACTAGTTTTCTTGGCTCGCGGGGGAAAGAAGTCAATGCCGTAATGATGTGCGTGAGCGGAGGATATGTCCCAGTCCCGTTTGGCTTATCCATATACCGTGAGACCCCATCCGTATTAATGATGACAAGTAGTCAGAAAGACTGCGGGGAAGGCACCACAGAAAGACGGAGTTTACTTCGTAGAGGTGTAGATGGAATATTAGGAGGGCACTGCACAGGGTCCGCAGTGTGTGTGAGCACCTTCGGAGCCCCGGGGGAGAAGACGTTGTGCGGTGCCAAGTAATGGCCAAGAATGATTTGTCGTCGTTGAGTTGGGGCAGTCGTGGGTTTGGTACGTAGAATGCTGTCTGAAAGTCTAGACGTTCGCCTAAAAAAGGGGCCAACCCTTTCACCCCCTGGTCGGAACACAACGCGTCCTTCTGCATATCCTGGCCCAAGGCAGAGGCAGGGTAGGGGCAGGGGTGCATGTCCATGGTTGGTTGAGTAGACCAAGCATCCCAAAATATGGAGCCAACTGTAAGAACAACCAAAGGGTGCATGTCATCCGTCAGCGTCGTACTCATCATTTTCTGATCTGTATTTCGTCAGCAACCAAGTAGCCGGCAAGATCCTGAGCCTGTCGAGGCTACTTGTAAGGGAGGCATGGTAACGGTGAGATGGTGCATGTGGTGCGGTGTCGTCCAACAGTGCCATTCGTTAGGGCATTTCGTCTTGGGTGAGGCACGGGAAGTGGTTGAAAATACTTCCCAGAGAAGCAACGTGGGTAGGATGCGACAGGGGGGGAGGAAAGAAGGGGGGGAAGGGGGCCAAGGAAGGTAAGGTCGGGAAGGAGCCAGGCAAGGCGACATCAAAGAAAATAGCGAGCTGTGACCAAAATAAAGAAAAGGAATGGTGAGACAAGAAAAAAAAAGAAAGAAAGCTAAATTGTACAAAGTATTGCAAACATTGTTTTTGTCTCAACTATCGTATTACTATTTACACACGTTTGTCGTGCTTGGAGTAGAAGCTCATCAAACAAATCCTCATTTTACTTGCTTGCCCTTCTTCCCCTCCCTCCTGCTTCCCACCTTCCTCTAATTAAGGTTCGTTCTCTGAAAAAAGACGGCAGCTGCCAGCAACAAACGGCCGAACTTTATCCCACATACCCTAATCTTTGTTTCTGGTGACCTCAATGGACGAGCCAGCCGCTGACAGTCCCACTGCGATGGGGCTAGGTGGAGTTAATTACCCGCCAGCAAATCCACACACGGACCAAACAGAGTACTATTCAATTGATGTTTGTGGGTTGACCGACGTTCTTCCCCAACCTGCCTAAACTTAAACCTAATCTGGCGGGGCAGGCCTGTCCACCTGCTAGAGCAAAATCATGGGGTAAAGGAAATGCCTACTATGTAGCGTTCAGTGTACTTGTTGTATACGTACCGCCTACGTCTCTTGCAGTGGATGTTTTATCTCACTCCTACGTAGTACTACGTACGTCGTGGGCACTATTTATTTCCCTTCGCTGACGCGAGATTCTTTTCTTGGGGGTTATTTCAGTTTGATTTGATGCCTTGTCGCCACCCTCCATATCACCAACCAATCTGGCGGGAGCTAGGGCCGAAGGAAGCTCTCTCACGGGAGTCTGAACTACCCTTTAACCTTGAATCATGCACCTACCTGACCTTGTCCCGCATTGGTACGGATACATTCGCGGCTGATATCTGTATCCGTATCAGCCACGTTGTTCCTGACCCGAGTGCCTATCTGATCGACCATTCTTGCCGTCCAATAGGTTTGCTGTACCATTTGCTGATCAGCCAGCTCGTCTAAGGGATGCTGTCGTCACATCCAGCGACCAATTGCCCCCCTCCCCGTCATTATCAGCTCTGGCCCAAGGCTTCCCTCCCAGATCCTTGACAAAAGGGGACGTTTGGTTGTGTTTATGTGTGTGTGTCCCCTCTGCCTATCTTTCTCAGCAAGTATATTGCAGACGTACCCCGTGTCTTGTCAAAACATGTGCCTGCCCTGCTTGGGCTGGAGTCAGCGGGGAACAGTGGCGGAGCAGACTAGCGCGCGCCAAGCTGTCGGAAATTCGGTCGTTCTGCCTCATTAGGTTCGTCTCGTCCGGGGTCCTTGTCAGCCAAGACAACACCAAAAACGTCCTCGTCCAAGTCTGTAGCTTCTTCCCTTTGCCTTTGCCTTCGTCTTCTGTCCATTTGTCTTGGTCTTCATCACCGTCTCGTCTTGTCCCCTTAATCCTAGCCTTGTTTGCTTTCAGAGACTAACCCCTCGCCTGTTCTCAAGCTTCTCAAGCTTCTTCAAGCTTTAGAATCCCAAGGACCTCTTCGTCGCCTACCGTCGAATCGCCCCCCTCCCTTTCCCATACCATTTTAGCCCATCCCGGCTCATCTTGTGCCTCCCGTCTTGACTGCATTCGCTGGCTTCATTCCTCGTGGCGCTCATCCTCCCCCTCACCAGAAGCTTCGCCCCCCCTTCTTCTCGCCGGTCTCCCTGCCATCTCGTAACCCCCAAATCTCTTGTCATACTTTTTTTCGAGTCTTGCCAAAACTACCTATTGGGGAAAATATTCCATTCGACCGGCGCTAATCTTCTCTAGCCCTCCCGTACACGTGGCCGCCAGGTGAGCCAAGAACCACCCAGCATGCCTCCCATCTCCAAAGAAGGCCTCCCAGCGTCTGTGTGACTCCTGGTGTTTTTGTGGCTTGGAGGACGAGGGGAAACATCTCTCCCATCTCGGCGGAAAGGCACATGGCACCATGACATTGATTCTCTTGGCTGCGGCATCCCATGTTCTGCCGTGTCATGGCATATCGTGGCACAGGAACGAGAAGCGTCTTCTCGAAGATCGAGTTCCAAAGGGTCCTCGAAATCCGGATATCAAAAGAATGCCGTCACATACATGTAAAAGTCATCGTTATCATCGGTTACATCGCCATTGATAAGACCGTGAGCACTAATCAAGCGTCACTGCAAAGCCTTGGCTTGCGGAGTGGAGAGTCCGATTGCTTGTACTTCCCGTGACACCTTGCATGTTCATGTCTCTTGGGTACCAATGTCTTACCTTCAATATTTCGGAGTTCTCTTGTTATGTCTCAACCAGAACTGTGGTTCATGAGGCCGTGCGATGCTGGCTTTTTCGGATCAGCAAAGGCGCGCAGGTCGAGGTTACCCTGCGGCCTAGGCGGCCGCATTCCCTAACCAGTCGTGTTCTGCCGTTGCCCCAAGCCCCTGGTCGCGAAAGAGCGAGGTGCAGATGGATGTGGATTACTACTTGGTAGTCAAAGGTGTCGAGAGCGTGAAAATGCCATTATGTGGTCATGTTTACCGTCTAGCACGCAAGTCATGGACCCTGGCATGATGTCCGTATCGCCCACACGGGCGCAGTGCGATACATTTGGCCGTGGCAAATACACTACAAACACTTAAAAACTGCAACATTAGCCAGCATATACATGCTTTCATTGCTCATTTCAAAACTGGAGGCAAAAGCGAGGGCTATGTCCACTCACCCGGAGCAGATGCATGGTTGAGGCTAGGAGACCCCAGCTTCAAGGTCTTGGCAACTGCGCTTTCACGGGGTAGGAGGTTAAGGACGGGCGGATGAACGAGATTGATTCTGCGGGGGAAAGATTGGATGCGGAGGGAGAGAGTGGCCTATGGCTGTTGGCCTGACAAGTTGGGAAATAGCTAGGAGCGGAGTCTGGATGGCTGGATGGGGGTGGAGACATTGGACGGATGGCGACGATGCGGCCGTTGGTTTGTTTAGACTCGATTGCGTGGCAAGTCCTTCTTTCCTTTAGGCCAGAGACCTACATCGATTAGTTGAGTGGGAAAGGCCAGTAAAAGAGGATGGCGCAGGTCAAGTGGATTCATTTTGGTAGTTGGACAGCGGATGGGGAAACGGTCGTGTCCCGCGATGATTCCTTAGATATCTACGGCGCATCTATGATTATCTCAAATACCCACCACTCACTGCATATCTACGTTGGTGGGACACGTCGCGTCGTATCCTCTACATTTGCGGCAAAGCTAGGGATACATGGTCTTGACGGCGTAACTGTCTCAGCTGCACTAACGCAAGATAGGCCTAGGGTACAGAAGGGTTGCGGTACCGGGCAGCCTATGGCCTGCCAAGTTGCGGCTGGTCCTGAGCCAAAAGGGGATAAGCTGACAGGATTCAGATCCTTAGAAGCGGCAGAGTTGCAGCGCCTTAGTTCGAAGTCTTGGGGGTTGAGGTAGCGTTGAGTTGCATGTACAAAGGTACCTTGCCTTGCCTGACCTTGCCGCAGATACAGATCCTGGTCTCTCGAGTCGAGCCTGGATCAGGTAGGCCTGCTAGCCCGGCGAGACATCCGGACTAATATTATTATTATTATTTTATTGTTGTATTCTTTTTTTTTTTTTTTTTTTTTCAACATTCTGGTAGCCATGGCTTTACACAGATTGCCAAGAGTTTAGGCAAGATGGGTAGATGGAAAGCTCCTTGTTGCACGCTAAAGTGCCCATCACTCCTCATTTCTGCCGCTGCTCATGGAAATATTATAAAGAGGGCAGCATTGTCGGGGCTCTCCATCAAACCCTCACAACTCTTCCCTCTTGCTTTTCCTTTTCTTCTCCTTCACGGCGCCCTTGCACCTCCTCGCGACTAATCTCTCTGCTGCCCTTGCTCTCGCAATCCAAGTCGAGTGAGACAAGGAGAGAACGATAAGTCTCGGGCCTTGTTTTCATCTTATATTGCCTTGGACCGCCATCATCTCCACGGCACCCGAGCCTCTCAACAATATCACCACCTCAACTTACCCAATCTCGCCCCCAGATTTTCGGACACCCGCAGCAGTTCTCTTCAGCTGCATTTTCGTCTTCTGCGACCTCGGGACTTCTTAATTGGACCCCGAATCACATCTCGCATACTCTTCCGAGACACAGCTTGGCATTTAGTGCGAGCTGTCTCAAACCCTTCGAATTCCCCCCTTTGCCGAAGCTTCGAACCTTTATCTCCCTCGAATCCCTAACTTTCTGCTCGTCGAATTCCTCAATTGACAACCACATCCAATATTAACACATCCTTGACCGATTCGTGTCGAACCTTCAACATGTCGTCTTCAGAAAAGGATGTTAAGGCTCAAGGCAACCTTGAGCCCTCCATTGAGGTCGAGTACGCCAGTGACCCTGAGAGAAGCGGGTTTGATCAAGCCGCCACCAAGAGGCTGCTGCGCAAGATCGACTGGACCCTCATTCCCTTCCTTGCCCTGCTCTACCTGCTGTCCTTCTTGGATCGTACCAACATTGGCAATGCTCGTCTCGCTGGCCTCGAGGCGGATCTCGGCATGAAGGGTCTTGACTACAACGTTGCTTTGTCTGTCTTCTTCCCCTGGTATGTCGCCGCCGAGATCCCCTCTAACTTGGCTATGAAGCGCTTCCGCCCCTCCATCTGGATTCCTTCCATCATGATCGCCTGGGGTATTTGCTGCACTCTGATGGGTCTGGTTCACAACTATCCTGGACTTTTGGCTGCGCGCATGGCTCTCGGTCTTGCCGAGGGTGGTCTCTTTCCCGGAATTACGTATTAGTGAGTGCTCTGTTACGCCCTATTTTGGCATAATCTAACCCCACGCCTATCAGCATCACGATGTGGTACCGACGTCACGAATGTGGTCTCCGCATGGCCATCTTCTTCTCTGCTGCCACCGCTGCTGGCGCCTTCGGAGGTCTCCTGGCTCGTGGTATTGTTGAGATGAAGGGAGTTGGAGGCAAGCCTGGCTGGGCCTGGATTTTCATCCTCGAGGGTATTATCACCCTTGCTGTTGGTAAGTTCACAGTTTATATTAACCCATCCTGATGATTTGATGGCTAACGTCGCCTCTCCTATAGCTATCGCTGCCTTTTTCATCATGAACGACTATCCGGCCACTGCAAAGTTCCTCACTGTTGCCGAGAAGGAGGAAGTCACCCGCCGCCTCGAGCAGGACCGATCTGCCCTTGCTGATGAGTTCGACATGGTTTACTTCTGGGATGCCCTTAAGGACTGGAAGATCTGGGTCCACATGGTGAGTTGCACCGTTGCTACTAACACCTGAGTTTTGCTGGATTTGTCCACTAACCGTTTGCAGGTGATCACCATCGGAATCTACACTCCCCTCTACTCCTACTCGCTCTTCCTCCCCACCATTGTCAGCGGCTTGGGATACACCAACAACACCGCCCAGCTTATGACCGTGCCACCGTACGTTGTTGCTTGCGTCTGCTGCATCAGCGGAGGTTGGTTGGCCGACCGTCAGCGCCAGCGTGGTATTTACATGATCTTCTTTTGCGCTGTTGCGTAAGTGGTGCCCGAGTCTTCAAAGTCTCTCACTCAAGACCTAACGTAAAATTTACAGTATCGCTGGCTTCATCATGCTTCTTTCATCTGAGAGCAACGGTGTCAAGTATGCTGGCTGCTTCTTCGCCGCCTCTGGCATTTACCCCAACGTTCCTCAGGGTGTCGCCTGGAACGGCAACAACATCGGAGGCTCCGTCAAGAGAGGTGTCGGTATTGCTATGCATGTCGGTAAGTGAATATCTACTCAGATTGTTGATAAACATAGGATACTGACAGACACTAGGCTTCGGTAACCTCGGTGGTGCCATTGCTGGTTTCCTTTACCAGGCTAAGGACAAGCCTCACTACTACCCAGGCCACGGCACTCTTCTTTCCACTTTGACTATGTCTATGTTCCTCTCGATCTTTATGACTATCTACCTGCGCCGCGAGAACGCTCGCCGTGACCGCGAGTACAAGGACCCCAGCCAATACACTGCCGAGGAGAAGGCGGCTGAGCGTCACAAGGGTGACAACGCCACCTTCTTCCGTTATACTGTTTAAGCGGGTTTGCTTTAATTACGACTTAATGTGCAGTAATTGCGTTTTTGGTTAGATTCTCATCTATTCGGAAGAGAATTGGAGATGCGCCGGATGAAAATTCTGCTACGGCACGAAGAAAAGAATATCGATAGTAGGGAAAGACTGAACATAGCCGGCGGCCCTATAGAATTTTATTTGGAGATAAAGGAATAATCCACGTCAATATTTACCTCATGATTTCCGCGCGCTTGTCATTGGCAACCTTGTGACGCTATATGAAACTATAAGATCGCATTCCTTTAATGAAGACAGCTAGATTGGCTTGATGTTATTTCACTAGATGGTTTCCGAATTAAATTACCGAATGCATAAAGTTCTTTTGAGAGAAGGTTGTAGATGGTCAGCCACTTGGTGGTTAGCGAGATGGCAACGAGGCCTCGGCTTAGACACTACAGGGATACGGCCCGATATGCACTTTCATAGTCTGGTTTCTAACGTTTATCAACTGGGAGCTACGGTCTGTCACCTGATCATAGCGCCAAGAACTACGCCACCCGCAGTCTTAATCCGGTCGTCCAGGGAATTGGCGCTACCATGTATATGTATACTACGTACACTACCACGGAGGCTGGGCCCGGTGCTCGTTGCCTTTTGATAGCGGGCGTCGTCCCGTTCGCGACAGTGGGTTATGCTTGTTCCTTGGCGCTAAACATCCCTTCCCCCGAAACGCGGGGGAAATCGTGGGGGGGGGAGGGTCACTAGAGCTGGTTTGGTGCAGGCACTAATGAGTTTGGTTGGGAGGCGGATCTGGAGATTTTGCCATTGTCCTTTCTGTGGATCTGGGCTGTGCGTGCTCTCTCCCCCGCTGGATCTGACAGCTTGACAGGCACGCACATGTACCCGCATCCGCATGATGCTTTTTCGTTTGGGAGTGGAGAAGCGCGCACCGTGCAGCGGTTCGTTTGAGAGAAGGAAAGATCCAACTATTTTTTGCGGGGTGAACATGGTGGTTCCTTGTCTCCGGTTAGGGGTGGAGGGAAGGAAGCAACAACGGCATTGATGATCGAACGATCCCTAACAATTTAATGGGGTTTCATCGCTTTCAGATGACCCCAACATTGATGGGCGCCAGTTCCGGGGACTCGGGATGTCGACTTTGTCGGATGGGTTTCTGCCCCGGCCCGATCGTCCCACCTGAGCCTTCTTCTTTTTAGCTTGTGCGACCTTGTAGCCTTCTTGGTTGCTTTTTCGGCAATTTCCTGTCGTGGGCTCGATGCATCATCTTGTTGTACTATTCACATCTTTAGTTCTGCTTCTTCTGTTTCCCCTTGGTACTCTCCTTTCGGTCCCTCTTCCTGCTATAACTCAGGAGCCCAGCGTTGAGTCGATACCTTTCAATGATTGCATGATTCTCTGGATGTAATGATTGTAGTATTATCAAGTCTTTGTTGATCTCATAAATACATATATAGATAGAAAAAAAGCACTTTAGTGTCCTGAACATCCAACGTCGAGCCCATTTAGCTTCCGGACTGGAGTTCATGACCACGGCGGGTATCGGGCTTTGCTACCAGAAACTCATCACATCACTTAGCCCCGTCCATGTTGCATGCTAATAGACGGAGCAACTTCACTTCTCGTTAGACGCGTCTTGAACCAGTGCACCCTCGCTGTGTTGAGTCGTGACCTTTTGTTGCCCATCATAGTGGTTTTCCTTGTCTTCCGTCTCGTATAGAGCCGGGAAGGGGTCTACGTCTCGGCGTAAAAGATACTTGTTTGCATACCAGGGTGCCTTGGACATGTAATACTTCGCGTGGTCGCGGTTGCGGACGGAGAAGACGCTGTCGAGCTCCTCGAGAGTCAGGCTCTTCGTCTCCGGAAGGAAGAAGTAAGCGACGACGAGGCCGAACAAGTTCCAGCAGGCGTACCAAAGGAAGGCGCCGGTCGGGGTAAACGCTTTAGACATTGAAGGCCAGGAGAAGCTGATGATGAAATTGAATCCCCAGGTGACGGCCGTGGCGCTGCTCATTCCGATGTCGCGGATGTGCAGCGGGAAAGCCTCAGCGCAGTACGTGAAAGGTACGGGGCCCGCTCCGGGCGAGTAGACGGCCGCGAAAATGTAAATTCCCGTCGCGATGCAGGCAAGCCGTGCCGTACCTTCTGCAATATAGAAACTGAAACCGGTAAAGATTAGGGATATAGCCATCAGTGGGAACGTGACCAGCAGTAAGTTGCGTCTTCCAAAGGTGTCGATGGTGTAGAACGCGGGTATCGCAAATAACCAGTTGACAAGGCCCATTCCCATGCTCGTGAGCAGCGCATCGGACCTGGGAAAGCCTATTGTTCGCGTTAATTGAATGGAAAACACTGATCGAAGAGTTGAAGACTGACCTCCGTCTTGGAATATTTGTGTAGAATAATACATCCTACCATATTTGTCAGCTTGCTTGTTTTACCGGCACCAGAGAAGACTTCCATGACCCGGTGCCATTGCCGGATTGTGGAGTGAAGTGGGTCCATTTTCGACATCGAACGGGGCCGTGCCGGAGACCGGCCCGGCCGTTCTCGCTCCGATGGCTGCCCCCAACAAGATATCATGCCTCGCACGATACAAGAGAGTATTATAAACGAAAGAATAGCTACTCACACGACATTTATTCCACAAAATTGTTGCATAAACATAACGAAGTACGAGAACGTCGCTGCTCGTCTGTTTCTCCTGACGGTGAAGAATTCCTTCCAGTTTCGACCGCTACGAGCCTGCGTTTCAACCTCGAGAAGCTTGTGCGCATAGTACATGTCTCTGGTTGCCTGGATACGGTGGTTCCGAAGTCTGGAAATGGAGCGAAAGGCTTTCTGGTATTTGCCCTTCTCCATATACCAACGTGGGCTTTCAGGACAGAAGTAGACCTGATGAGTGTTAGGAGGTTGTGCTTGAAAGACAAACAGGAGGCTTCGAAGAGTGAAACAGAATGTAGATATCTTACTTGGATCATGACGATCAACGGAGGAAGCGACGTGCTACCCAGCATCCAACGCCACTGCGTGTTTTCCCCAAGGAACTCGGTATTGCTGAAGGCGACAGAGACAATTAGTCCCAGCGCGATTCCGAATGCTATCGTTCATTAATATACGTATATGGTTTTCGCAACGTATGTGTATACGCACCTGTCCACATCTGCCACATCATAGTCAACGCGCCGCGAATGGTTTTTGGCGTACTCTCTGCGCTATACACAGGCGTAGTGCTGCTCTTCGCGCCTACTGCGAGACCCAAGCCAAAGCGAGCGAGAAGCAAGTTGTACCAGCTATCGATAGATGGTAAGAAGAGGTCCAGTTGATTATGTTGGTACGAAGACTTACGTGTCGGCGACAGCCATCCAGAAGCCGGTTGCAACGGAAAAGAAGCAGGAAATGAAGATTGTTCCACGCCGTCCCGTCCACTTGTTGAGATATGGACTAGTCCAGCAGCCGAAGAGTGCGCTGCAGAGATATGGAGCTAAGAGTACCGTTAGAACTTCCCGCTCTTGCTAGTTGAGTGAAGGTTTTGAGATAGAACGTACCGCCGTTGAGTAAGCCTTTCATACGTTCGTCGGTAATGTCGAACGTAAGATAGTAAAATTCCTGATTATTAGTTAGCTATCAAGCTACAGAGAGAGTCTTTTCATAACGTATAGGCATCTTGAGTCGCTCCAATAGCAAAGAGACGATTGGGGCCAAGATGTGATTATATCACCATGGCAGCTCCCAGAAGCATTTGCTTGAAATACCTGTGCACTCGAGGAAATCTACACTTACTTGGGCACCGTTAACGGCTGTCTGATCCATGCCCTGCACAATAGCAGAGCCTGCGCATAATGCGCATAGGAAGTAAAGCATGAAAGGCTGATGCCAGCGATGAGTTATCTCCTTTCGGAGCACTTCCTTCTCCTCATCTGTGAGAGAAGTGACTGTTTCGAACCCATCGGGACGGTTGCTAACTTGAGCTATCATTGCACCCTTTCGGAAGTCTTCACGATGCTCAGTCAGCCCATACTTCTCTGTGAAGCTGTCCACATCTTTAATGAGCTCGTCATGAGTGAATCCGGTCAGAGGGTTCCGAAGAAGGGCCGCATTGGAGGGGCGCGCGCCCTTGTCAAAAGGGCCATCGCTCCCAGAGGTTCGGGCTTCCGTGTGGATATCCTCGGCCACAGGAGACTCCGTGTCTACCTTGGGAGAAGGCATGGCGATTTGTTGAAAGCTCGTACCAAGAAAGGTTAATATTGACCTGCAAGCCCCTCAATTAATACTGATGAAGCTGCTGTTAACTTGAGAAAGCAAAGGACAGGCGGGGCGATGGATAAGAGGGGCAGTCGGGGGTGTTTATAGACCTTGAACCCCGTGGGCGAACCCTTTCAGAGATGCATTGACAAGAATTTCAGTGGATCTCAGACATCCTGGACTGAGGAGTCTTTCTTGGTTCATGATCGCATACATGGCCGCAGGCCAATGCCTAAACACAGCAGAATGGGAGGAGTGGAACATCCAAGACTGGAGTCCGGGGAAGACAGCAGTCCTGGTGTAGCAAGTCCGCGTGTCGCAGACCATCTGACCACCTCTTGGATGAAAATATGCGGGTTTTTCGTCCAAGCCAAGAGGCATGGAGTGGAGAACGATATTGCCATTCTGATTCCCAACAAGCTCAGCGGCATAAGACAATGTAACCGGCCGTGGAGTTGACCACAGCCGTGGAAAGTTTTGGGGTGGGACATTCCAGACATGCAGAGTGCGGCACGTCAAGTTGCAGCTGGAAGACAGGCATAACCCACTTGTAGTACAACACTTCTCCGGCATCATACTGCCTGCATTTGAAGTTCTAGATGGCTTGACACGCCCTCAGCGCTGCCTCTCGAGTTTAATGCTTATACAGTCCTTGTCCATCTGATTTCGATTAAGCCTTGAAATAAGCAACAACTTCAGGCCTACCACCATGCTTGTATGTCTTGTGCCATGAGAAGGCGAGGCCACCAGGGCAACAAATTAGAAGCGTGTGCAGATGGCAGTCAGCCGCGTGGACAATCAGACGTTGGCAAGGGCGCTTTTTTCGGTCAGCCTCCAAGCGGGCGGCCAAGGCGACGTTGGTGGCAGTCGGACGATGATCGGCTAAGCAGCCAAGCGGGTCTTGTTCTCGGCGGCGGGGCCTCCGACTTCAAGGATGTAGTAAGCCGACGAACAAGAGGCAGGAAATCGGCAGACCCCCTGAAATCGGCGTCGACAAGCGGCGCGGCACTCGTCACACCCACGAAGGGAGAGCCAAAAGAACCAAACGATTTGCCCTGTCTCGATTTCTTAAGCCACCGAGACCCTTTGGTTTTCTAAGATCATTGATGGTTTTTTCTCTCACTCCCTTGACAGACTATGACTTCATACCAAGACCTTGTCTGGCCTGGACAGTGATCCTTCAGGTTGTTGGACAAACCCGACAAACACATGCGGTGGCGCCATGCACGAGCAGTCCTGTTGGTTACTTTATCCCGTACATCGGTCGCCACCCCGAGAAACGGCTGTCGAATCGTTTGCATGTTTCCTCTAACATCTACGTCTGTCGTTGGTGAAACCTGTTCGGCGTAGTATACATTTCAGGGATCGGGGGTGACAAATCCTTCTATCGTCATTATTAGTCGTGGACACGGACAGTAACACAGTGATCGAGATAGAAACATGTGATGGAGAGTGTTAGTGATGTCTCATGGCGGTTCGCATTTCCCGACATGGGATTTCCCCACCCTCTCATAAACTTCTCCTGCTTGTTTGCGACTTCTTAGCATCTAGTAACAGCAATAGCAGCAATAGGATGTGACAAGACGCTACCCCCACACCAAGATGAACACAAGAGGCTTCGCCGTTCTTGGACTTTGGGAGGCAGTGTCCGACCTTTACAGAGACCGACGTATAACCGGCGGAGTGAATTTTGCCGGGAAAATGCAGTCGACTTAGCTGCAGGAGGTGAAATCACTAAAAATAGGATTGTCAAAGTTATGTTCTCGCCATAGGCAACAAGAGTAGGCGGACCAGGTGCCTCGGCCGAGAGATGAACAAGGTGAATAATTAAGGAATTCGACTTAATGAATGAAACTTTTCAGGGTCTTCATTTCGCCAATCACAATACGCCTTGGTGATGGTGAATCGAAGCTAATCAAGCTATCTCTAGAGCTGACCCTTGTCACATTCATTTTTGTAGAAAGTATGCAATGGAAAGCCCAAAAAAGAAAAAGAAAAGAAACCCAAAACAAAAACCCAGACACAACAATAACACATGATAGGTCTGAGATAGAGCTGGAATACTTGCAGAATGGACGCACGAACTAAAATACATAGAAGCCCATGGAGGTGACCTTTTCCCCTCAAATGCCTTGTAGTATCCTCAGCCACCCGCATGCCAACAGCGTGTGCGACTTGAAGGCGAACTAAGACAAGCACAAGCAAAAAGACTCAAGCCTCATCATTAGCTAGACTAGAGCATTTATGTATCAATCCCTAACATGGTGAGTCCATGCATTTAACCGCCTATTATAGCAAAATTTCTTTTAAGTCTCAAATATCTCCTAATCGGGATACTTTCTTCACCATCGCTCAGCCGTGGCTGAATCTATAGCGTGCCAGTGGCCAAAGAGTCTCTTTGATCTCCTTTTCAGCTGCTCAGCGCCATAAAAACTCAGGGTCTTATTTCTTACAATGTCAGTTCTTCACTCATCATGGCAGAAGCATCGAAACCGCCGCCAAAACGGCGGATGAGGGTACAGAAATCGTGTACGGAATGCCAACGACGAAAGCAGAAGGTTAGTGACTGATATCCCATGCATCCTTTTTTTGGGCTTTCTACCACAATCCCGCCCGAGTCCCCGCCTGCCACTGGATCAGTGTTGAGATGAGGGGTTGTAGTGCATAATCCGACGGCCTGACGTCCCATGTGTAAACTGCTCCAGGCGCTTCCCCCCGGTGGAATGTGTCATCACGCAGGTCGATTCGGTTCCGAAGCCCGCCTATGAGGATCAGATTCACACCTTTGAACTGCCGGCGTTCTCTGTGGGGACCGGCAAACAGCCCGAGGTCACTTCCGCGAATTATCAGTTGCCTACCCCACCTACGTCTTCGAACCCGGGGACGCCAGGAGCATTGGCTTTTCGCATTCAACGACAACCACGGTCAGAGTCACCGTCTTCCTGTGGCCCTTCATGGAACGATCTGAGGAAATCCTCCGATGACCTTGACGATGAGCACAAATCTTTGATCACGAGGAAAGCTCGTGCTAACCTCTTCCTCGACGGCAATGGTGACCCGATGGCCTTCTTTCACAATAGTCCAGCGTCATTTGGCGGAATCCTCTCTGAAGTGACAACAATCAACGGGATGCCGCTTCCCGAGGGACCAAGGACCATGGAACTTCTTCATTTCTGTAAGTCGATGAGCTGCTCTACTGGGCTGACGGATCTAACAGAGCAATGCAGATGTCCAAGTCGTGGCTCCAAATATGGTGTCGATAGATGGGCAAAGCCAGCCTCCGGTTTTCCTGGCCGAAGTACTTCCCTGGATGCTTCAGTCTCCATTGTTCCCAAACATTGGAGTTTTGATGTCTTCGATGACCCAGTCTCTCGAACAAGGAATGGAGATAACTAAGAACTCGGAGTCGCTCGCACTTAAAGCTCGTGTTCTGACCATCATTGCCGAGTATATGGAACGTCCTTTCGATATAATCGCCGTCGAGATGGTCCGTTGCATTATAAATCTGGTCGTCATGGAGGTAAGTCTTGAGCGTATCGACGTGGTCTAAGTTGCTAGGATGCTTTCCACATTACTCTCCGTTCCCAGTTACTTCAACAATACCGTGCTCTTCTTTCTACTCGAAACAACAAAGGCATATCGGAGATATGACCTTTTTTTTGGTTATGGTGACACTAACATTTCCTAAGTGGTTCTGGGGTGCTGATGACAGCATGTTTGCTCATATGAGAGGCATCAAGCGCATGATCAATCTCCGCAATGGCATGAGGGGCCTTGGAGATGTAGTTGGCGAGTCAATCATTGTTCTGTATGGAAAACCTCATCGTCACATCATAGCGGCAGCATACTTACACTTGGCTGCCAGGACCGACTACGAGATCGCGTGCTGCTTCGAGACTGACCTCTACTGGCAAGAGAACGACCCTATCCGAGACCAGGAGATGCCCATTCCGACGACGTGGCCCGACTGCTACGATAGTCCGTTGTTGGGATCGACGACGAGATTCGAAAGCATTGCAGAGAAGCTTGGGATATGTATCACAGCGAGCAAGATCCTCGACGACGTTCGGTTTCTCACGACATCCATCACTACGGTCCCAAGTTTGCCGACGGGAACCCCGAAGATCCGAAGCACGGCATCGTGGCTGTACGAGAAGCTGCGAAATATGCCCACGGTGAAGCCCACAGCGACCAGCCCCGAGAGCGACTGGCTGCTCGAGACGATCCGACTCGCGGCTTTGATCTACAGTTGGGCGGTGAACTCGCTGAGGCAAATATCAAATTTCGACAGTCAGGAGGTGCTCGAGGACGCGTATGTGGCAATGAGAAAAGTGAGCCTAACGACATGGAAGAAAATACCGGGGATATTCTTGTGGATCATGTTAGTGGCGGCACCCAACGCGGCACCGGATGCCAGGGGCAGATTTGTCCGGAGGAAAATGGCCGTGACGGGCTTATCGATCGGATTTGAGGACTTCGTGCTCGGAACATCGTATCTGAAATCATTCTGGACTGTTCAGCAGTGGATCGCCAAGGAGGGCGATGCAGGTGTGCAGAGACTTGAGGACAAGTGGTTGATGGGTCTCGGCCGGGAGCGGGAGCCCAACAGGAAAGCCAAGTCATAGCTTTCCCCCTTTGTACGTCTCCTTTTCCTCGTGCATTGCGTGTTCGAAAAAGGAGTCATGCGGTCACGATGGCATCAGGCCTGACTGACTTTTCGGTTGGTGGCGCAGAAGGAAGGATGTTTGATGAGCTCGTTGACACGGTGAGATTTGGATATGAGCCCTCGGATTACCCAAAGGGGGAAGCCGGTGGGGGTTCAAGGCTGCACTCCGCATTCCCCCAGACTGCATCCACCTCACGGGTGGTCTGGACTAGGGTGGAGTTAGTCTGGACTTCCATTTTGCAGTGGACGACAGGGTACCCGAGCCCTGTGCAGTGGTCACGAAGGGTTCAAAAGTGGCCCATCTGCAGCCTGTGCACTTACATACATAGTATACTACATAGATAGTAGCATTGTTTGACCGTTTGACTGGGGGGTCCAGTGTTCAAAGATTAGCTGGATTACCCAGAAATGTCTACATCCCTGAGCTATTCCGAGCTCCCTAACGAATCAGATGTCCGTTTCATGTCGAGAGTGAACCAACGGGATCCCGCCGCTATGTTCCGCCACGGAGGTCCTTCAGGGGGGCCTATGGGCGCCTCCAATTGCTGTTTCTGAGCTCTCTTGGGCGTGTATTGGAGCGGGAGGGGGATCTCGAATGTGATATCTGACAACCACCGCATGACCTGTCTCGGAAACTGGATGACCCTCTTCTTTGGATGGTCTAGCCTCTCGTACCAGACCCCCATGCAGCCCGCGACGCGCAGATGGGACGGACGTTTTTAATTTTTATTTTTTATTCCTTTTAGACCACAGGGTCTACAGCGTAGTATCGTGAGCCGGCGACCTAAGAAAAGAACTCCCGAGGCGGAACCTCCGGCCAAATTGTGAAGCTCGTCGTATCACAAGTCCAAATCTGGACCAGGGAAGATGCGCCTAGTGACCAACAACCCCTCCCCCCTTTTGGAATACACACACCATTCGCATCCTTCCGTTACCATGCCTGCTCCTTCGACGCTAACAGTTGGTGGAACCGTTGCAATGCTGTGCCATTGTGCTTGGGGTATGCTGATCTTGGAATTGGCATGTTGGGAGAAAAAGGATGTGAGGGGAAAGGTTGTGCGGGGAAAACCAAAGCGGCATGCCAGAAGTCCATGATACCAGTCCAGGTATAAAGGGAAAAGAAGGTGAGGCGCACTCGCATTCTGGTAAACGACTTCATTCCTCTCATCCCTCAGAACTTTAAACACCTCCTGGTCAATTATTCATTTTCTTGTCAATTTGTCTCTGACGTCCCATCCTACACAGCTTGCTCCCTGCTTCTGTCCATCTTACAGCATACATACATCACCACTCAAAAAACGCGAACGTCTTGTGCTCAAGGGAACTACCATTGAGACAGCTCCTCTCGTCTACCCCCCCCCCCCCCCTTTCCCTTTCCAAATACCAGAACCAAAGTCGAAAGAATGTCTCGGTACATGGCTCGTATGAGGCCATTCCGCCTCGGTGCTCAATTCGGCCCGGCGCAACACTCTAGACTTACAGCGCAACCTTTTGCGCAGCGACTCAGAAGCTTCCACGCAAGCCCCAACGCTCGCGGTCCTCTCACATCGCCAACCCTCACTCGTGTTCTGCCCGAGTTCAATCTCCAAGACAAAGTCATTGTCGTCTCTGGCGGCGCGAGAGGTCTTGGCCTCACACAAGCCGAGGCTTTGTTGGAAGCCGGTGCAACGGGTATGGAAAGAGAATCACTGCTCAAAGAAGCACCCCTTGATGTGCCGATGTACTAACAATACTGACAGTTCATGCCATCGACCGCCTCCCCAAGCCAGACCCGGACTTTGAAAAAGTCGCCCTGAGAGCCCAGACCGAGCTCGCCACCTCTCTCACATACCACCAAGTTGATGTACGCGACGTCGACGCTCTCAATGAGATCGTCGAGGGTATCGCGACCAAGCACGGCCGCCTGGACGGCCTCATTGCCGCCGCCGGAATCCAGCAGGAGACGCCCGCGCTCGAGTACAAGGCCGCCGACGTCGACAAGATGATGGGCATCAACGTCACCGGTTGCTTCATGACCGCCCAGGCGGTGGCCCGCCAAATGGTCAAGCTCAAGTCTGGCGGCAGCATCGTGCTGATCGCCAGCATGAGCGGCACAGTCGCCAACAGGGGATTGATTTGCCCGTAAGTCGCCCATGCATTTCCTCGCACGTTTTTTTTTTTTTTTGTGGCACAGAAAGACTAATCAGAATTTGACATGCAGTGCATACAACGCCTCCAAGGCAGCTGTTCTGCAACTCGGACGGAACCTTGCAGCGGAATGGGGCGAGCACAACATCCGCGTCAACACCATCTCGCCGGGTTACATCGTTACCGCCATGGTCGAGGCGCTCTTCGAGACGTACCCGGAGAGGAAGACCGAATGGCCGAAGCACAACATGCTCGGAAGACTCAGCGCCCCCAACGAGTACCGCGGGGCCGCCGTCTTCCTCCTGAGCGACGCGAGCAGTTTCATGACGGGCAGTGACTTGCGCATGGATGGCGGGCACTGCGCTTGGTAAAGGCGCGAGGTTGGAAAATGAGGGAGTTGGTCGTGTTAATTAGTCGTAATACACCCAGACAGCAGGAGTCTAGCGATTGTTGCTCCGAGGGAGAGCCTTTGTTTTTTTTCCTTTACATATAATACAAATAGTACATCCTTCAACTTTTACCGGCTTTTGCTATAGATATCAAGCAACGGTGGTGATACCTGGACGCCCCAGCTTCTCAACGACCCCCGGCTTCAAGTTGAGCCTCTCCTCGATTTCCGCCGACGAGTGTCCCTTTTCGCGCAACAAGTGCATCTGCACAATGCTCTTGAGGTCCAGTAACGACCTTCCCTTGCTGCTACTCCTGCCGAGGTTCTCAAACTCCTCATCGGCCCGTTGTTGAAGAGCCCGTCTCGCTTCCAGCGTGCCTAACGTTACATTTCGAGAGGCTGGAGGAAACAGAGGGCCTGTCATCTGAGTCGCGGCGCCGTGAGGTGGCGGGGCGGCCGTGGAGGTCGGAGAGAAGGTTGGGTTCGGTTGAACAATGCCCATCTGGCGCAGGCGCGACGAGAATTCTTCCGTCACGTTGTCGGGGTTGATGGAGTCGGCGAGAATGTCTAGAAAGAGGAGAATGTTAGAAATTTCGACTCTTCGTCGGGTCGTCACCGCCAGGGGGGGAGGCGCTCACCATCTGTCTTTGAAGTGGCGGCCTTTGCCTGTGGCCGGGCCTGCGGCGGTTGTGATGAAGGGGGCGCTGGAGCTGCTCTCGCCGCGGACGTCGGTACGGCGCCGGGAGCGCGGGTCGGGAACTTGCGGGCGGCGCCCTTTGCCGCTTTTGATGAAGATGCGCCCATTGTGTCGTGGCTTTTCAATTGCGGTCGGGATGCAACTTGTGGAGATGGGAAGTGGAAGGGGAACCGGGTTTGACGGCAAAAGAGTGGTTGCGCTGGGATGGGAAAGCTCGAGATCTTTTTGCAGGGTATCGCTTATCGATAAGAACAATTACAGGGCTATCGCAGCCATGACGCATCAATGATTTTCGGGCCTCTGCGCGGGGGGATCGGGCGGGGGGAAAGCTTCGAACTGACATCAGGCGAATTTACATTGACCTCTTTCTGATTGGTTAGAGTCACAGTGGCTTCGGGAACCCCCGATTAAAGAATACAACATTCATCACCTTCTGAATATTTCTTTGGATTCCAAGTATCCTGATGAATATGTACAGCGAACAAAAGACTATTCACGGTAGTTTTGTTTTTACTAGCGATCTTGGATACGTCAAGATAGCTTTGCTTTCTCTCCACTGATTGAGCTTTCTCGACCGACCTCAGCCAATGGTAGCAACGTGGTTCGTGACCAAACAGGTCCATTCGTCAGTGCCATAGTAGATGGTGTTACCATCGTTGTGCGTCTGACCGGTGCTGATGGTGTCGCCCAACTGCCAGAAAGCATCGGCGGCCATACCCGGAGTCGTCGCCGACGTGATTTGCCACGGCCTCTCCAGCTCGCAGTGCTGAGTAGGGGTTCCGTCTGCAGGTAGATTTTGTCAGCAATTATTCGTTATCAAGCGTCTCGAGTGAGGCCGCCCATGTCGAACGAGAATCTCTATCAACTCACATTCTTCGAAGAAGCAAGGCTTGTTCGCGGCAGCGCAGTGTACGGCGTGGTCGGTAACCCACTTGTTGCCTGCGGCGTAACCAACGCCCCCTATTTCTCTTGTCAGTCACCATCATTTTTCACAGTCACTCTCTAGTAAGGTTTATCATCTCAGAACTTACATGAGTTGGGGTAGAAGTGGAAAGTCGCAAAGTCCAGCGTCGTAATGTTAAGCAGGCCAACCCAGTCGGTGCCCTCTGAGTATCCATACGGGTATGTGCTCTCACCAGGCAGGCCCATGCCCTCGTCACCGAGAGTCACCATGTGGTTGGGGTCCAGGCTCTTGACGTACTCCGAAGTCGATTTGGCCCAGTTGTAGATGACGTTGGTGCTGCAGCCCTGGCAGCGGGGCTCGTTGGCGAGCTCCCACGCGAGAATCGCCGCGCTCGACTTGTACCGGCTGACTACGGCGTCGATGTACTTCCTGTACTGGGTCTGAGCAGCCGTGTTGGTGTACCATCCGTTGTGGTCACCTCCAAAGGCGTTCGTGTAAGCCTTGATGCCGCCGTAGTCGTCCCAGTTGTTGACGAAGTTGATGATGAGCTTGATTCCGTTCTTCTCAGCCGACGCAACGACGGTGTCGAGGCGCTGCAGTCCGTTGACGCCCGTGTTGATGGTAGAGCCTGATGCGGACAGGTGCTGGAACCAGTTGTCATACTGCGGGATGGTATTGACGTCGCTAAAGCCCCAGATACGGAGGATCTTGAGGCCCGAAGTCTTGAGGTGGCCCAAGACGAGGTCGACATCGGCGGCGTTTGTCAGGAAGCTGCACCAATAGCAGTTGGTACCAGCATAGTACTTGGTCACGCCGTCGATGGTGAACTTGGTACCGCTAGCCTTGGGGAAGCCAGTACCAGGGGGGAGAACAGCGGACGAGGTCCTGCTCGAAGAAGTCCGGGCTGATGACGAGCTCGCTGGACGAGTAGATGTTACGAGCGTGCTAGTCCGGGCAGTCGTTGCCGCGTTGCCTGGGGCCATCAGCTTGTGTTTTCTATCAAAAGAATCTGGTCCAACGTACCTGGGACACACTGAGAGTACCAGTCATTCGAGTACTGGCAGACGGCGCCAGCCACACAAGTTGTTGGTCCGGTCCAACTCAATCCACCGCATTGCCCGTAAAGAGCCTGCTGCGCTGAAGCAGCGGCTGCGAAAGAGAGCACACCAGCGACGACTGACTTCATGATGGAAACAGAGTTGTTGTTCCTATCGGCTGTGGAATCAAGAGGACTTGAGAAGATGCCGGCGGAAGACAGGTAATTTGTACTTTGAATTTACTCCCATAACCTTCTCAACGGAACGCTTCATCCTCGACGGATCGTCGTCTTCCTTTCCCCTCGAAAGCTTCTTGCCATGTGACGATGATATTCCATCAATGACATTCCATATCCCATGTTGCCTCAAGCCATGGCGGATGGCTGGACCCTTGGATCGACTGACTAGATGCTCCGCAATCGAAGGGGGACATATCCGGAACGACCAGGGTGGATGCGGAGGTGCAGCGTGGGATCGGTCAACACCACCCCATATTTGAAGGCGGATGAGCCGACGTGCCTATGTAAATCTGTTTCTGTGTTGCATTGCATATTCAAGGCGACCCGCTATTCTTCGGATTGGGTTGCTTTGGAGCCGAAGAACCAAGATCGACGTCTTTGCTTCTACCGATCTACACAAATACTCTACCGCCGATTTCAATGCCCACAGTTGACGAGGCGAAAGCAACTGTCGGCGACCCCATCACCCCAAGAACACGGTTGGGAGCATTTACCACGAAGTAGGTTAGTGGCAATAATTGTTCAGGCGAGTCACGGCACAAACTGTAAGCTTTTTCTTGGACATAACTTCCGCCTCAGCGTATGGGGCTGTAACGGCGGACCCTCATCCCCCGACTTCCGCTTTCGAACATCGCGCCCTCAATCCCGCGAACGGAAAACCACAGCACAAAGCCGTGCCTTCCTTGAAAATACAGGTTCAATAGAGGGGCAAAATCACCAGAATAAGCTTGATAGTTCGGGTCTCTATGTTCCTGGTTTAATTCTAGTCAAAGGTCCGCAACGTGCGGGGTGTAGCTGATGCAAGTGGCGGCATGTCCCGAGTGCTGCCCACCCGAACGTGGCCACTCCGGGAAGATGGTCCCGTATGCGAATGGTTTCGACATGCCCTGGCCATCGGTGAATGTCACTTATGGTCACTCGTCTAGGCTCACAAGTAGGATGCTCTTTGATGTCATCCCTTTCCATCATACTACTTCTGCGTGGGCTTTCGCAAATGGTTTAGGGTCCCGCGCAAGGCAGTCTTGGACTGACAGTAACTTCGCATCTATGAAAGGGTAGGTCAGCGATGTTCAAACAAATGAATTGCTCTTCTGATTGGCAATAAAGCTGTCAAGCTACTGTTCTCGAAGCCACAAGGCCGGTACCGAGACCACCCAGTCGCGTATATATGAGCTGATAAATGCAGGGCTATGCGAGACTTGGCGCAACCTACTTCTGACCAGAGAGGCGTGATTCTGAGGAACCTCGAAATGATATATTTCAAGCTGATTATCAGCCTGCCCGATCTCTTTGGGTGGGGCCGCCTTGTCGTTTGTCGATGTTTAGCAGGTCCTTGAAATTTGACCTATACGGGATCACCAGGCTAGCTAGACAAATATTTATGCATACTGCTTAAGTTGGATCCAATACTAAGACACCATGGAGCAGTTATTGCGTAGAACGGCCCATGTATATCCCCACAGTTTAACCCGCGATCACAGGATATCCATCGTAAGCGATCTCATTTATATGCTTGGTCGGCTCAGGGGTGAGAAAGGTGGAGGAAACAAGCAAAGTAATGGCAGATATTTTGAACTTGGCACACCACAATGTTGAGCCGTCTTACTGGACAACGTCTGAACAACAAACAACGATCATGTAAAAAGACTGGGAGGGTGAAGGCGGCGGGGCCATCAATAACCACAATACTGCGACATAGTGGTGCCATCAAGTGTCAGAACACATACCTCCCAAGCGAATCTACTAAACCCCATGTTCTGTTGCTAACTGTTGTTACTCCCGATATCGGCTTTGACAGAATCGAATCGCTAGCTATTCAAGGCTACTTTACTTAAGTCGGTGTTTGAGTTGTATGGTGTGCTGTGCCGGCAAACTTAATTCGCAGCCACTACGGAAAAGCAAAAGCAATCTCAATCCTAAAGCCTGGATGAAAAAGCAGTATTAGATTGTATACCAGCAAGTGTAATGATTCATTGCCCGCCCGAAACGTTTACAAGATAAACGTTGGCAATGTAGATCATTTGAAGCAACGGTTAATTACCTTAACCCTCACAACTTGGACATCAACGCAATGTTTTGAAATGCTAATCATACAGGCGAAGTGACCGATAGGTTCAAGCCACAGACCATGTAGCTCTTGACATGCCTGCTTGCGAAACGCTTTGCTACTGCAAATAGATACCTCTTGACACAAGCTATAACATGATCAAGTCGCTATCCAGAAGTTCGGTGGGATGGATACCATTTAGAGTCGGCTTACGGCGATTAAACTGTGCGATTGGTATTTGTGGGCAACCCATATTTCAGATGCGTCATGTAGTTCGTGGTGCGACATCGTCGAGCACTTACAAGATAAAAGGGGCGAGGGAGTCGGCGCCAAAAAGAGGGCTTCCGAGACACAAGGAGCAACCAAGTCGTCATGTAGGTTTCTGGGCGCACTTCCTAGGGATGCGGCAAAGAAATCATCGTTTGACTAGGGCAAGGAACACAAACCTTGGGCAGCGATGGCCATCGCGCGGGGATAGACGGTTTGTCGGGTGTTTGAATGAACAGCGACCACAACGCGGCCGATGCTGAGAGCCATGATCATGCATACAGATATGCCCTGGAATCGCTTTGTTGATCAGACAATTCGAACGGGACGGGGGAGATGATAGATTAAAGTTCCCGGCAAAACGGGGCTACTCTCGATCACTGTCTTGGTGGTAGGGAAAACGTTTATGATTCCGAAACTCCAAACTAGACAGGAGAGTTGGGCCGATTTTGTGGTCGCAACAGTCTCTAGTACCGGTCGCTCTGTACCTATTCATTTTTTGATGAAGCGGTTGGGAAGGAGATGCTGGCACCGCCATGTTAGTGAGCTCGAATGAGAGTTTGCGAGTCTCTAGTCTCAACAGCAACACATGTTGGGGTTATGGGATGACGAAGGCTACAACAGTGCATGGGATCAAAGTTCGACTAATCACGATAACTCAGAGACAAACAGAAGCCGGAGCTTGAGACAATGAAATCACTGGGTAGGGAGTAAGCTTCGGCAGTAGGGCAAGCTTGGATCGGCTAAGGGCTATGTAAACGACGCGCGTCAAGTTAAGTGCGTTTTATGATGGCGGGAAATAACCCGAAGTCTCAACTCTACTCTGGGTGCCACTCCGCGTGGTGTTGGCTGCACTCTACCCCACCATCAATAGCTTGTCACTCCCTGCCAAACCCTAAAACATATGCAAGTCATTGAAGGTCAAGTCTTGCACGGTTGAGCTGACTTCTGCCCAAAATCGCTGAATTTGCCGACAATTAATATTAATCTGCCCTTGCTTCCGTGTTATGGCAGCCTGTCGGCAGTGATACCATTGGCTGGGAGCCCGCTGTCAGACCTTTACCAGGTACTATAGAGTATTATTATCCTCGAGAGTTGATTATTACCGGGAATTCTCAAAGGTAATCGCTTTCGATGGTACTCTAATATCCATATACGATGGATGTATCGAAAGCCGTGAGCCCCTCCCCAGGAACAAAATCTCCTAGAAGTACCTCTGATTCCTAAAAGTCCTCGAGTACCTTAGGTGAGTCAGGACATGAAGGTCAATTGTAAGTGCTGCTTCTCTCGGGACGATATACGTCAATCCTGATGTCATGATCGATTAATTTTGGACAGGGCCAATGAAGGATGACTTTCGAAAATCCTAATACCATTCGTCATACACTGCAACGGACCAGGAGCTTTTATCAGTGGCGGTCAGCACAATCTTGTCCCATGTTTCGCGAACTCAGAACCGCTTGCCATTCCAGGGCAAACTAGCACAGCCTGTCACACTCGAACGCCTGGACATGCACTCTTAACCGCCGGTGATATTATCCGGTGACTAGTCTGGCAATACCCTTGTTTATAGATTATTTCCCCGCGAAGAATTCGAATCCGAGAAACGCACTAAAGGTGAGAACGGTCTCATCTCAATGGGGCATCCTCAGACGTGCGATGTAGTATACGCAGGACTGCAACAGCAGCTGCCATATAGCTAGTCTGGCAACCATGTTGGTGAGCAAGTAATCTCACCGTGTGCGAAAATTGTCTCTCTTCATTGAAATTGTGTTTGTTATTTGCGTCATTTGAAGTATCTTCAGGCTACAGCGCCTGCGACGTGCTTCAAGAGTCGTAATGTTTTCTAGCATGGTTCTAGCAAGCCTATTTGCTGCTTTAGTTATACTAATAGTGTCTGCCGAAGAGCCTTTCAAGTCAGCGAGAACATGCCCAGCATTTACGAAGGGAAGTTTTACAGTTCAGCAGTTCCAGCTGTATCCCGAGAACGCTGACTGGGACGTTGACAACTGCATTATCTACTTTGGGTAAGCTCTCCGAAAGAAATCTTCGACCAGAATTCTAAGACTCCCAGATCACTTTTTAACGCAAGCGTCGTTGTTTATGACCCTTACATAGAGACAGTTGTTGATATCATCGCGTTTGATGGCATCACACACAACCCAGGCCTGCATATCGGTGGCGTAGCAGTCGACCCTCACACCAAGCTTTTGTCCGTCGTCGTTGATGCCGCCGCCCCATTTAACACCGGCGGTAGGGATATTTCGGGTGATAACTTTATCATCAAGTACGACCCAAAAAAGAAGCAAGTCGTGTGGAACAAGAACATCACCGCCGTAACCAAGGGGCAATACGGCGGCTTCCAGGATGTTGAGCATGATCCTCTCGGAAACACTTTCGTCGTCGGGTCGTTTCCTGGCACTATCATAAAGATCAACCGTGAAGGTTCAATCGTCGAGCCTTGGTTCCTCCCTAAACAGATTGTTCCCACAAGAATGGGTTTCTCTGGACTTGCATCTACCGAAAACACGTTACTTGCCAATAACAATGAGGACCGCCAGATCTACCGGTTCAATATGAAAGATGACAAGGGCAGGCCGGAGCTCGTTCCCAGAACGCCAGACACAAAACTTGGTATGACTGACGCCATCTATTTGCCCCCAAGATACGAAGGCAAAGTCCTGTTGATAGCTGAAAATGACAAGGGAATCACGGTCCTTCGTTCCAAGGATGGCTCATGGAAGTCAGCCGAACACCTTGGTACTGTGTCTAATAACTCACCGGCAGCTCAAGGTGGAATTGTCACAGCCCCAGTTCAGATTGGAGATAGTTTGTTCATGGTTGAGGAGTTTTTCATCGATCCCCCGGTACCCGGCTCAGCAGTAGGGAACAGGAGCAGTTTTCCGTTAGTAGACATTACGTCGGAAGTTGAACAGCTGTTGCGAAATTGATCACTGGGATTCAACGGGCTTGTGCATATCTGGATGTACAATTCATCATTTATTGCCGTCCTAAGCCCATTATACAACCCCAACTGTTTTGCAGGTTCTGCAATGCAAGTACTATGACACAGGGTTAATTGCTTTGCCAAAATCAGCAAAGCGGCTGCCAGAAGGCCCGAATAGCTCAATCCTCAAGCCAATCCCGGTATAACGTATGAGCCTAATCAAAGTATCGCTGAAGTCGATGAACCTTGAATTACACAAACAAGTCAAACCCAAATCTCCACCCATCAAAAGACTCCTTGAAGGACTGCCGAGCTTAGATTCAGATCGTCTCATGATAGTCATATGGTTCCGACAAGACGTCATAGTCATCTTCGATGCCCAGGATCTCATTTGCCTCTCTTTGCCATGCCAAGTCTGGCCCTCCTGTCGGAGCGGCAGACTGGCGAACCTCGCCATCGTCAGTTGTGCCGATGTCGTCGCCCGAACATGGCCTCCTGGCTCCCATGTAGGCATCCAGGACGCCAGGACGAAAGGGACTTGGCTTCTGTCTTGGCTTCGAAGGCACAAGCGGATTCTATCCGGGGCCATGTACCCAAGAGGCTGCGAAATCTTCCTTGAATCCAGTAAACTCGCCTCTCTTGCCCCAGATCGCCACCCCGCTACTGCAGGGTCGCATTTGGGAGACATCCTTTTTCGAGTTGATATCAAGGACTACAACCTTTCCCTGAGTGTCAGATCTGACCCAAGCGATTGGTTCAGGCTCGCCTTTGTACGGATCGATCAGGCAGAGCATATCTCCTATTTGAAAGGGGCCACGGTCACCAGCCTTGAAGAGCGAGCGGGCTTCAATGAACTGATCTATGACTTTTTTAGACGGCTGCGGAAAAGAATGACCATGAACCAATGAAGTCTTTTGCTGCGCTTGATATCTGTAGTTGCTTGGACAGAACGGGTCGTACAAGGGTATGTCTCTAACCGGGCTGCTGATCATAGTGGACCCATATTCATACCTGCTCTGGGAGGAACGGATGCTGGTGGTCGAGCCGGTACTAGGGGTGTCTAATAGGGATGGAAACGTGACATTTCTGAGTGATGAAGAGAGACATGGCGTGGTTGTTGTGCTACTGAGAGCGTGCTGCTTTTGCGGGGTTAAGGTTCGAATGACACTTGCTCTGTTTCTCCGATCGGTATCTATTATAGAAACGATCAGTTATGAGTTATGCAGTGAGTCTTTGGTTATGGGATTGAAATTCATACGAAGACGAGCTCGCCGAGCACCGGATGAGAGAGCAGTCACCATCGGGTTCTGCATTGGACGACCGGAAGGACTAAAGATGGTGACATCCTCTAGTAATAATCAGTAGATATCTTTTCAAATGAATAATTCAGAGGAGAATCCTACGAGATGATTGCAGATGGCATGGAGAGTTCGTAGACATGCTTTCTAGACCTGTCGTGGAATGCTTCCCTAAGTGAAAAGCGTTCGGTTGTCCGGCAGTGGCATCCTTCTGGGAATTTCCGCCGAAGGTAATATCTAATTCGTGACAAAGAATCGATGATTCCATCTTGAATTAAAGATATAATTTACGGTATCGAGTTGCGAGTCCGCCGCAGATTCGGTACGAAAGATGTTGTATCTGAGCCTGGTGATGGAGGCTGCTCAAGGGGGAAACTCGCTCAAGTCTGACTAGAGATCAAGTAAATACTAAACACAGTTTACTGACCTTAGCCCATACTGCGCTGATGGGAAAACGGTGAGATGAATGCTGACGACCACCCGAATACGAGTTTAGTGGTGTTTTCGTTTAGATTTGGGAATAGCTGTTTTTATCACATGGGAAGGTTGAAAGGTTGAAAAGAAAAAGAAGAGAGAGTAAGAGAGAGACACGAATTTTAGGACTAACGACAGGTAAACGCAGGCTACGTCGAGACGTTAAGGAGTTGAATCTTTACGGCAAGGTAACAAGCTCCCCAAACAAAGAATTGGTATTACGTTTCGCTTTTTGTTTGAAAGCTGTGGCTGAATTAATGAGATAATTCGACAATGCGACTTCACGAGCAAAACCCGCCTCATAACGGCTCAGAAACTATCACGTAGACGACAGTTCACCAGTGGCGCTGCGATGAGTTTTATCGCCCTCTCATCTCCAAGACCAAAAGCATGAAGGCACGTTAATAAAATTCTGGAAACGATTGTCCAAAGCTCTGGAAACCTAGCAAAACTATGTATTCAGTCTGTAATCATATGATTTTGGTTTGTCGTCTTCATGGACCTAACGTTCGTCTCTTCAACTACCTACTTCAATGAAAGTCTTCGCTAACCACATCCCAGATGGGCATCTCGCACCCTCGGCCTTTTTATATAAAACTTACATCAACTTTTACTTCCTGAGCTCCTTCCAATCCTCAGCGATATGCTTCATTCCCACATCACTCCTCGAATAGAGGCTTCGAACAACTTGCCGAAACATGCATCAGCGAATTTCAAGTCCAGAAAGCATTGCAAGAAAAGGTCTAGTAAATGTCATGAGTTCCAAGCTTACTTGGGTTGGATCGCTGGAGGTGGCGTGGATGTCCCATTGCTCGATGTCCCGTTGCTGGACGTTCCGTTGTTAGAACCTCCCATGCCACCTCCTCCGCCTTTTCCACCTCCCTCACCTCCACCCTTACCTCCTCCCTCGCCTCCGCCTTTCCCGCCTCCCTCTCCGCCCCCTTTTCCACCTCCTTCACCGCCGCAGCCAACGGCATAAAGCATGACTTCAGCGCAGTTGGCGCCTTGATCGGCCTTTTTATACACGTTGTACTGCTGCTTCTCAGCCTCACACTGGAAGAACTTCGTCTGGTTCTTGAAAGTAACCCGACCATCACATCCCACCTCAAAACCGGAGTCAGGCTTCTGGCCCACGTCGCATTGCAAAGTCTCAGTCGGAGCTGGAACATTGTTAACTTTCTGGATTTCTGAGAGTGATGGGTAGAGAGAGTGATGGGTAGAAGGGATACTCACGAGTCCACCAACAGCCACGATCTTTTTTGTCCATTACTTGTCCCTTTTCCATCTTCAACTTGACCGGTTCAAGGCCAATTCTTAGTTGTCCGCTGTCCAGTTGTCCGATAGCGCCGGAAACGGAACCTTTGGACTTGAAATGGAACGACTTGCAGTTCATCATGCCCCCGCCTCCTTTGCCGCCTCCTTTACCTCCCCCTTCGCCCTTCCCTCCTCCTCCTCCTCCTCCTTCACCACCACCACCGCCGCCGCCGCCGCCGCCGCCGCCGCCACCAGGTCCGCCCTTTCCGTCACCGTCTCCACCCTTCCCTCCGCCTTCACCACCACCTTTACATTCACCACCGCCTTTGCCTCCGCCCTCACCAGGTTTGTCCTTACCAGGCTTTTCCTTACCATCCCCGCCGCCTTCCATGGTTCCATTGTCAGCCCTCCTGAGGACACCTTCAAAGGTGTTATTATCAGGCTTGAAGTCGCTTTCTAGAGTGACGTTCTCAGCCCTCTTCTGAACACCTTCAAAGGTGTTATTGTCGGCCTTGACAACACTTTCCGAGGTGACATTCTCGGCCCTCTTAAGAACACCTTCTAGGGTGGTATTTTCGGCCTTAAGAACGCTCTCCAAGGTGACATTCTCGGCTCTCTTGAGAACTCCTTCCAGGGAGGTATTCTCAGGCTTGAGGGCGCTCTCTAGGGTGACATTCTCAGCCCTCTTAAGAACTCCTTCCAGAGAGGTATTCTCAGCCTTGAGGGCGCTTTCTAGGGTGACATTCTCAGCTCTCTTGAGAACACTTTCCAAGGTAACATTTTCGGCCTTGAGTAAGCTTTCCAAAGTGGCATTCTCAGCCCTTGGGGCGACGGCCACACCAAGAGAGCTGGCGGTCAGCGAGAGGACAGTGGCTGCCGAGAGACGCATTGTGTCCTTCAAGAAGCGTGTATATGTACGATGAGGAGGAGGTAAAGAAGTAAATTATGCGAAACGTCAGGTAGGCGAGACGCTCTTCTCCGCCAGGGAAGCGTGCCTTTGGATCAAGACGAAATAAGTATAAGAAAAATTATCTTAGTAAAAAGCGGATGTTGTTGAAAGACGGATGAAGCATCTAAGATCATACAGGCGGGGGGAGAGAAGTCTTCTTACCCTTTTATGCTTTGAAGCCCCTCAAAGCTTGGAGCACAACCGCTGAAGGGATATCGCTGAGGACATGACGGAAAGTCTCCTTGTCTGACTAGCCGTTTGGAAGCAAAAAAAAAGTCAGGCTGGAGTGAGGGGCAACGTGCCCAACGACGAAGTCAGGATCATGAAAGTCTGTCAGGGATGGTGGTCGTAAGGGTTAGAAACACATCCACACACATATAACAACCTGTACATTCAAAGAGCCGCAATAGAAACTACGCGAGGAACGCCAATATCAGAAAAGACAACATCCACGTGCGTCCATATACGTTTATCCTCCTATCTCGGAGACGTGAAAGATCAAGTGAACGACTTCAGATGGACTCTGAGCGAGTTGACACCTCGAAAAAAAAAAAATCAGGGTCAGCAGTGCCAAAAGTAAATGGCGAACCGACGCAAGAAAGTGAACCTTCTGAGAAGATGGTTCGGTCGGACGACGCAGGAGAAGTTGGGAGGGCGAGAAGAAACTCCCTTGCATACTCCTGACAAGAACTCTGAACCTTCTCATTGCATCCCCTCATTGAGTCCCCTCCCCCATCGCCTGATGTTTCCAGAGTTTGTGTCGCAACAGGGGGAGGTGAAGCGAACGGCTAAGGTAAAAGAAGAAACATGGAACAAGAAGAGGAACCGGAAGTGAAATTAAGGTTTTGTGGTTTCAACTGGCGAATAAAATCTATTTTACTGACTGATGATCAAAACAATGATCGCCGTCTTTATACTTGAACTATCTGTGTTGCGGGACATTGACTCGCAAGAGAGAGGACACAGCACAATGAGATTCTCGACAAAAACTTCTGTCATAACAATTTTTCCACGGGTAAATACGTTGTCATTTCGACAATGTCATGGGTATCATACGGTAAACACGCTAAGTTGGGTTGTTCTCAGGGTGCGCAGGCCTCGGAAGAAACACCTGGGGCTGAAAGCCCGTGCTGAGCTGTGAGCAGGGGAGCAGGGGGTTACGGATTCCCCCGAAGAGCCGCATTCGGGTCGTTAATAACGAATACTGGCATCAGGCTCCGATCATGTTTGTAACGGCTCGCCTTGCCCTTTGGTTTCGTACCAAGAGTATTTTGGTGGGGCGGTCAACTTTGGACGAAGTCGAAACCCGCCCGATGATTGGTCTGTTTCCCACCTGGGTAGGTGATGTCACCGAAACTTCGGCGTCGTAATATCATCAAGCTTTTTTGCTTCACGCCTTTCTCCTCTTGTTAGCAGTGGCACTCCGGGTACTCCGGGTGCTCCTGGTACTGCGGTCTGAGATAGCCCGGACCGAGGTGTTGTAGCTCGTCTCTGAGGCTGCGCCGTCACCGCCCTCACCGTCACTGGCAGAATCGTCATCAGACAGCTCGTCCAGTGGAATCATGTCGTCCGAGGCATCACTAGCATCTTCAGACGCTTCAGCCAAGGACTTGTCGCCCTCGACCTTCTCATCATCAGATCCGAAACCCTCGAAATCGCCTTCAGCTTCTTCATCTTCATCTTCTTCTTCGTCATCGTCATCAGCAACGGTAGACGGACCCATAGACGTGTCGGGCATGCTCTCAGCGTCGTCCCGCTTCCGCTTCTGGGGCATCTCTCCGAGCCTGCCACCACGACCCTCAATACCCTCACCTGCTTCGCCATTTTCCTCTACAGGCGCAGGAGTAAACCAGGGGATCTTTCCGCGCATGAAGTCATTAAGAACCATTTTTGCAACACCGTCCACATCAGGCTCTCCCTTGCGAAGAAGACGACCGCTCTTTCGAGCGATCATCTCCAAGAACTCCATATGGTCCTTCCAGCCCTTGAGCTCATAGGTTCTCTCCATATGGTGGGTCTTGACCTTGGCAAGGACACCAGGAATGTACTGTTCAGGGTTCTCCACGTTCTCAACACGAACAACACCTCTGAGCAGCAGATCCTGAGGTGTATCGGTCTGGGAAGGAGGCACGATACCGGGACAATCAATGAGGTCTGGAAAAGTCAGTCCATGCATACTGTTATGCTAAAAAGTGTACAACTTACAGATCTTCTTGGTGAGCGTGATGTACTGCCACACCTTTGTCTCGCCAGGAATAGGCGCAACAGTGGCAACCTTCTTTTTCCTAAGAGTGTTGACGATGCTGCTCTTGCCCACGTTGGGGTAGCCAATGAGGCCAACGGAGATCTGTTTACGCTCGCTATGCAGCTTGGCATACTGCCTGAGCAGCTCAATCAAACTGCCCTTTCCAAAGGGGTTGGTCAAGCTCGAGTGCATCGCAAGCGTAGGTCTGAACTTAGAGAAGTATCGCACCCAACGAGCCTGTGTCCAGTTAGTTTCCATGGTAAGCAAACAACAGTGACACAGATTGATTGTGAAAATATGTATGCTTCGCTACTAAGAAATACCACCATATCGAGGCTCGGAAGAGCACTGGTAGACTTCAACTCATCGTGAGGCAATTTCATCTCATGACAGGAAATCCAAAACGGACCCCATCAGCCCTGATCCAAGGACCAAGACAGCGAGATGACCCTTGATTTTCCCAGCGTGTAACGGAGAACCTCCCATTAGGGGCAACATGTGTGCGGGAGGCTTCCTGACAAAACGACTGGGGTCTGGAAAAAAGAGAAAGAAAAAAATAAGACGGTGACTTACAGCAACAGTGGTGGGCACCAAATCCGTCTTGTTCAAGACGAAGATGAGATGCTTGTGAGGCGCCTCCTCCTGCAGATACTTCTCGACACTCTTGCAACGAGTGCCAAGAGGGTCGCGAGCATCCAAAACGTGGATAACAACGTCTGAAGAGTCCAACACACGGTAAAGCTCGTTCCAGATACGTTTGCTCTGACCCTTGTTGAAGATGGGCTCGATCGACATAGTAACATGGCTCTCGTCCTCACCGTTCTGGTCCGCTCCCGAATTGCCACTCAGCAACTTGGCCTGCTCAAGGCGGTCGTTGTAAGTGTCCAAACTCTTGTCGGCATCGTCCATCAAGTCCGAAATGGTGCCAGCGCCAATCTTGACACGCTTCCTCTGCGCCTTGGGTCCAAAAGTGTCACCAAAGGAAGAGGTTTCAATCGTCATCTTCGCTTGGTGCTTCTTGAGGCCGTTGAGTTCAGAGCCATCATTGATCAACGACATGGGAAGCTTGTTGCTTTTGAGCAAGACCTTGTAGGGGTCCGCGGCCTTCTCAGCCATAGCACTGCGGAACGCCGTCAAGCTCTCCTGCGAAATGACACGAGTGTTGTTGAACCATTTGCGGTTGGGCTCGATCCGCGCATTAGGAACTTCACGGCTCTGGAACGAGGCGGCCTTCGTGATCTCGCCGTCGGCGTTGCGCTGGGCCTTGCCATCCTTCAACACGTTCAATTGCCTCACCCTCTTGGCAGAACTGAAAGGAGTTGACGTTAGCAACGCATTCAAACAGGGACAAGTCGCGTAAGGATAGAGAAAGGGGGCTTACCGGTAGAAATTTTCGCCCTTGACCTTGACATTGCCCATGCCATCGCCGGTCTTGCCTTGGCGAACCTTTCGATTCGCCTCTTTCTTTCCGGTTCCCATCTTGACCGCGAACTTGCCCAGTCGTAAAATTGAGAGTAAGAGGGAGAAAGACTGGGCAGAAGTTGAAGTCGGTGAGTTGTAAAGGAGGATTGAGAAGGGGAGGTTGGAGCTCGCTCAAGGTAAAGAAGATCTTTCTGCGGCTGGTGGGGTCCTGGGAATTTTTTAGTGGAGTTGCTGAAATTTTTTGGGGACTTCGGGTCCAAAGAGCGCCGTGGCGCCGAGAGACCAATCATAGACGTTTATGCCATCTCCACAACTGGACTGTCAAATTCACACCGGTGTGTTCCATCTTTTGTCAATTGAGGCACGTCGCCAGTGGTGAGATTCAGAGCTGTACCCCAGTTTGCGCCTGTTGCTTTGTGACGCCGGAGTGTCTCTATCAAACCCTTGACACTCGAGAATTTCTCAGGTCCATGATCCCAACACCAGCAGCTTGCATCTCGAGCCACGACCGACTCCATCCCCAGCGCCGCCACTCCTTCTAAAATTGGTGCCATTGATCTGGCAGAAAGCCGCCTTGCCAAACATGTCATCAAGATGCACCTGTGCGCGTTTGGCGCGGCTCCCCGTCGCTGCTAGGTCCAGCATCAACCTCACACGACCCTTCTCGACCACGAGCGCGAATCTAAATGTGCCCCCCGAGTCCCCGGGCTGGATTCAAGTCCCGGTCCCCCCCCAGTCCCAGGCATCTGAGCAGAAGTTGCCCAACGTGAAGGGAACTTTGCCTGTTCCCCGTGACCCTTTTGCGCATAAGGATGCGGATCGCAAGGTTCAGCCCGACTACCTTCAGCAGACGGCCCCCAAGCCTACGAACGAAGCTTCCAAGAAACCCGTCGAGCCCGGCTCTCGCCTTGAGCACCGCCGCCGTATGGCTGACAGTCGTCGCGAGAACCTCGAAACGGCCCTTCAGGGTCTCTACAAGCGCAAGCAGGAGCGCGTCGAAATTGTCACCGCCGCCTCCAAGAAGCGCTTCCGCGAACACCAGCGCGCGGCCAAGGCCCCCGAGCGCTGGGATGACCGTCTTACTCGCAGCTCCGTCCTTTCCTCGCTGGTGAACTCGACCACCGTGCAATTGGACCCCAAACGTTACGAGCGTGCCGAAGAGAGCAAGGGCAGAACCGCTGCCCTTGCTCAGCAGAAGAGCGAACAGAGACAGGATGCATTGATGGAGATGTACATCAACGCCTCCAAGTTCATCGTGTCCGAGGATGAACTGAGTAAGGAGTTGGACAAGCTCTTCTCCGAGGACTTCTGGAAGCGCCAGGGCAAGTCTATGGCCCACGACTCCGACAACGCCTGGGATGTGTGGGGACAGCCCCCGACGGTGCAGTCCATGCTGGACGAGATGATGAGGAAACAGCAGCGAGCCATCGACTTCCAGCAGAGCGAGCAGGACAGGACCGTCAGAAGGCAGAAGACCATTGCCGAGGAGCTGACGGGCGGCAAGATGGAGTAGGGTTGCGTGTCACAATGGCCCGCTGGGCAGCAAGAAGCCGGCTTATTTGGCGGACTGTATCAAAACTATGTATCGACCCTGTAAAACCTCACATCTCTAGTTGTGACGGCTTGGATCGGACAGCATCGCCACGTCTTTGCGCATCATACCACATCCGGGCGTAGAGTCACCTGGGGCGCTCAAGTCAACTTGTACTACCATAGATTCTTTGTAGCATTATAAAAACACCAATGTCAAACTATCATGACACGACATATCCTCCAACGCCGGCAAAGAAAAGCCCCATATGCACATTGACATATTATTGCCATTCGAAAAGAAACTGTTATATGTGTCTCGATGGGACCTCTATGAGAACGACCAAAGCCTCCATAATCATTGTGTAGACGGCTTCATTGCTCCATATTCGTACATTTGTATACTTAAAACGTCCTACTGCTGACCTCGGTCGCTATGTTATGTTTGCTCATCACCTCCTCTCGATAAGAAGGATATGCATGGCGGCGTAGGCAAGGATGATGAACACAATTCCAAAGACACCGAGGCTGATAACGTCTGTCCAAAGAGCGTCGTTGTTGAACCCAAAGGAGCTCAAGATAGCTGCTCCGGGCACAGTGATGTCCAAACCGTACTTCTTATCAACCAGCGTGAGCTGCAAAACTTCGTTGACTATGAGTGATTCGAACCCGTAGTGGAAGATGGAAAGGCTTTGAAGCCAAAGAGCAGCCTTAGGAATGGCATTGTGGTTAAGCAGCAATCCGGCGAAGAGCAAGCTGAAGAGCATAACCAGACTGCCAATCAAGTTCGCCACACCACCATCCTTGCAGATAATGCCAATGAAGAGGCAAATTGCAGCGGCGGCAAAGTTAAAGAGAACCAAGACGAGGATAAACTTGAAGAAGTGGCCGGCATCAGGAACCAAACCAGTCATGGGGTAAATAATGGCGCCCATGAGAAGTGGCGGGATGATTCGGAGCGGAATGATGTCGAACAGGATCTTGGCGGCAAAGTATGTGATCGGGTGGTAATAGCCATTGGCACGCTCACGAACAAACAGCAGTCTCTCGGTGGCGAAGACGTTCAAGCTCGTCAAGGTGCTGAATCCAAAGAGTGCTAGAAGGAAGAAAAACAGACCCAGGCGGTTTTGGAATCCAGGGATATCGTCAGTCAAGCCGTAGAAGAGATAACCAGAAAGGACTGCGAGAAGGATGGCGATGGCATAGTGGGTCAGCATGAGAATGGGGTTCCTGTAGAGGTTCTTCCAAGTTCGCTGGGACAGAATGATAAACTGCCGAGTGTAGCCCACGCGAGCATAACCTTTGCCAACGGCACTTATGTTGATGTTAGGGCCCTCTGGATTGTATCCATTGGCATTCTGTCCGTTGACACCTCGTGCAGCCGAGATGGATTGTTGGATCTCGTCATGAGTAGAGCCGGCAATGTCGGATTCCGCGAATGATCGTATCAAGATATCTAGGTCGGTACCGGCGTAGGCGGCAGGGGGCAAGTCATGAGGATCTTCCACGTTAATGGACGGAACAAATCCTGCAGGTTGATTCTGGAGCTTATACGATCCAACATCCTCTCCACCAGCGTCCGATGATGCCGCTGTGTCCACAGTGTTCTTACGGCGGGTGTAAAGTTCACGTTCTTGACGAACCTTAACCGAATCGCGACGCTTGTTCTTAGGGCGCGAAGACGATGACTCAACGCCGCTTTCGTCACCGATGCTTCCAGAGATGCTCGCAATCGACTTGACTGCGGTCGTACTGCTAGGGCCCAAGCTAGCAATTTCAGCGTTGACAGTGCCATCATCCTCGGATGTAGTGGAGCCGGCGTGCATAGTGAGGTCGACGAGGTAGTCAGCAATGTTGAAGCCAGGAGGGCACGAGTAGCCGATGTGATCAAAGTAGCCTTGGCATTGAGAGAATGGACCAGAGTAAACCGCTCCACCCCTCGCCAGCAGAATCAGCCGATCAAAGAGCGCCACAATGTTGGAACGGGGCTGATGAATCGTGAAGACAACCGTACGCTTGTAGTTCTTGGCCAGCGTGACCAGGCACTCAATAACGTTGAAGGCGTTATAAGCATCAAGGCCACTGGTGGGCTCATCCAGGAACAGAATGGAGGGACTTGTGACCAGTTCACAGGCGATACCGACTCTGCGTTTCTCGCCACCAGAGATGCCTCTGCCCTTGCCTTCCTCGGAGCCAATGAGGGAGTCGCGAATGTGATAAATGCCAAGCTGTTTCTCTACTTCGAAGACTCGCTGTTCTTTGGCGGCTCGACCCATGTTGCGAGGAAGACGAAGAAGGGCGCTGTTCAAAATCGTCTCGTGTACCGTGAGAGTCGGCAACATTGTGTCTTCCTGGTCGACAAAACCGATGACATTCTTGTAGTCCGCATCATCCACCTTTTCACCGTTGACATAGAAATCGCCAGAAACATTTCCTCGCTTGTTCTTCCGGGCCAGGATGTCGAGAAACGTAGTCTTGCCAGCTCCTGACGCACCCATGATGGCAGTAACCTCTCCAGGATGGGCCATGCCCTGAATATTGTTCAAGATTCGCTTGCCGTTGAGATCATACGCCACGTTCTCGAAGTACAGAGAAGCAGGTTTGTGGTCGGTCATGAGCTTCAAGCTCTCGTCGTCAGAATCGTCCAATGTAATGGCACCATACTTGAACTGTCTCCGAGATAGATACCAAGTGAGGAAAATGACGGCAACAACGAACAAAGAGCATCCGGCAATAACACTGGCAATAAGCGGGGTGTTGATCTTCTTAACGGGACGCTCGTAGCCAGGAACCTCGGTGTGGTAGAGACACTCGCCAGAGCGGCAGGTCAACTGAATGCTGCTGTCACCGATCAAAGACAGAATGAGATCGTCCATTGCGGGTTCTTTAAACGCGCAGTTGTTGATTCCTCCATTCTTCTGAAGACATTCGAACTCGGCGGGGCCCTTGATCTCTTCGACAAGGAAGTCGCTGATGTCGACGGAGCCATTCTCACCGCAAAGCATGCGTTCTGATATGCAGTTACATTCAATCTTTTTGCACTTGTAGTCCGTGCTGTTTTGGTACTGGTTGATGTCGGCCTTGGACTCACACTCGGTCAAATGGCAGTAGAAGGACTCGCGCTCGTCAACCCAAACTAGCAGAGGTCAGCAATAGTTGACGAAAATGGGGTTTACGGTACGACTTCAGACTTACACTGAAAATCACAGTTGCCCTCCTCCTTCTTGCAGGTAAAGGTAACCTGAGGTCGCTTCTCGCCTAAAAGATCCGTGATTTTTTTATTCGTAACATCACAGATCTGATAGTTGTGATTGATGACCTCGCCATTCTGATAGCACACGCCACCCTCCTTTGTCTCCATGAGAGCGTCGCAAGCCTTGTTGCTGGTGCAAACGTTACAGTTGATGCCGGTCCAGCCGTCGTCGCATTCGCAGAGGTCACCAGACCGTCGTGGCCTATCGGTGTTGTCGCCCCGAGATAAAGAACCGCAGACTACCAGCCATGTCAGCAATGCGCCTTGGCTTGCTATTTGTGCAAGGGCAATGGGGACGGATATAAATTACGTACGCGGTTCAAGACAGTCATCACCGCCGAAACCCTCGGGGCAGTTGCACTTTCCAGTGTAATCATTGCAACCGGCAAATTGAGTACACTTGTGGGCGGGGAGAAGGCAGTTGAAGCTGCGGAGGACGGGATTAGCAAAGGGTGCTCATCGCCAAACATAATGCCGAGCGGTGTTGCTGCCAACAACGGCGATGATGCCGGGAAACTGATGGGAGCTCACCATGGAGGACAGTCGGCGGGACGATCATCGAGTAGTGTCAGTTGAGCACGCAGCATGTCGGCATGGGTAGAATAATTGCGCTGGGCCGCCGCGAGGGCGGGAAGACATGCCAGGGCCCCGATGAGGAGGCTCCTCAAGGCGGGAGGAGCCATGATGGGCGACGGGATGTGCAGTGAAGACGGCCTGATCGATAAACAGACAAGGGAGTTTAATCGTTGACAGTCGTCGATTGGGTGAGAGGAGACGAGAGAAAAAACAGAAAAGAGATCAGAAAAGAAGGGAAAGCATGAAGATGGACAGACGGAGGCGGGCTGGAGGATGGAGGAGAAGCTCTTGGCTGCGGGAGGAAGTGCAAGACGTACGGGGAAGGTACCTTGCTTGGCCGAGAAGCTGGCCACTGCTTAACCAAGGCACTGACCGATGAGAGGCACACCCACCCGCCCGATTGCGCGCTTGACCTTTGACACGGCCGATAATAACCCGCCTGGGTGGCCCACGGCCCGCCCAGCAACGCCTAGGTACTGTAGTACAGGGGTGCAGCAGCACCAGCCAGTAGCAGCAAACAATGTAGCTGCTGATATGGGGCACGTACTGTTATGTGCAAGCTGCTGGCGAACTGTATGGTGGCGTCACAGTGGACATGTCGGCCCCACTGCGCCAGTCGGAAACTCGCATCAGCGTCCCGTGGGGTGGCTGAACTCCTCCTGTTCAGAGTTCGGGTGCCTGACCTTGATGTGCGCTGTTTTCCTTTGTTCGCTCAGGCAACCAGTGCTGCGGGACAGGAAGCGCTAAGAATAACCCCAGAAACAACCTGCAGCTCCTACGATGACACTACGGGTACTACCACCACCACCACTACTACTACCTTCACCACGCAGTGTTCGGCGGTAGCGTCGAGGATTCCTGCAGGGAACACGCCGGGAGACAAGTCCATGAGCATTACACTCCTCCTTTGGTTCCCAACAACGAGTTCGGCGGGCGATTGAAACAGCACATTGCAATGCGATTGCAGATCTAAGCGCAAAGTAAAGCGCACCTTTACACTACCGAGACGGAATCATTACACAGCCCACCCGGCATGCTGGTGATCGCGTGACTTGGCTGCCCGAGGTACGGAGTGCAGGAGGACAGCTAGCACATTTACACTACACATCGCAGTACAAGCATCCATGTACTACGCAGTACTACGTAGTAGCTCAACAAGGTATTGGCTGCAGCGGGGACCATTGCCCCGAAAGGACAGCTTACAGCACGACAAGACTTGTCTATTCTGTCCTGGTTGTCGACCTGTGACAATTGACACTGACATCAGATCCTGGGGCGAAACCCAAGAGCTGGGGAAGTGTGGAGAAGGATATACAGGAAAGCAAAGACTCAAAGGACACGGTCATCCATGATAATTACTCTCTTCTTAATAGTACTTGAGCGGGGTGGAACATTTGGTAACCGTCCGACTCAAGCAAGCAACTACCGATTCAACCACGACTCGTCGTTATAGCCACCGACCGCAAGCCTGGTTCGTAGTCGCCGCCATAACTAGCCTGGGAAACCAGCCACTTCAAGCCACTGTCAAGGTTGTCCTGGCACACCCTGATGAGGACATTACTTAATTACTTATCTATTCACGTCGACCAAATTGCTTACGAGTGATGCTGCCTCGACTTGCCTGCAGCTTCTATCTACGAACCCCGCAATCAGTTACCGCCATGCCGGAGTATTTCGACCGGCTCAAGTCGCCAAGCGGCGCGGTGAGAGAAATAGTGAGCCACTGTTCACAATTACAGCTTGAAGTTGCAGTCGTACATATTATACATGGAGCAGGGGGAAGAAGAAGAAGAATAACAGAAAAAGAGGATGCTGTGGATTGAAGGCATCTTGCTCGACCGCGATCGCGATTACAGGTGCCTCTATTCGCCTGATCCCCTGTCCGCTTTGAATATCTGACGTAGGGTGAGTGCTTCATGCCAGAGCTCCACCCATGTCCACCTATGTTCAGGCTGAGCTAGGCGGGCATTGCGATATCTACGCAAGCAATGCATACATCCAAAATAAAGACAATGTCTTCTCCTTGTGAAGAGAACCCCGCAATTATTCATACATTCGTCAAGTGGCTTCCCAACTTCCTAATTGGTGCAATTGACCATAACTGCTCCATTGAAGGATCGCTAACACGCACTAAGTTTGAGCGAGCATTTGTCTCCGATGTGTCTGCCCGTGCTTTGGCTGATATGTGATACGTACTTCTACATAAGGTCGAAGCGGTCCTGGAAACTCCCATGAGCATTGTTTGAGGTCTCGAATCCGTAGTCAATAAGGCCTTGGCATTGTGTCGGTTTATTTCTGCTCAGTCCGCCCTGTACGGTTACCCATCAGAAGCTCTTGCTTTTCAACAACTTTATTCAATCTGTGCAATCAGTCCAATTGTTAAGTAAAACAATCCAAATAGGATCGCCGCATTCGAAGAGGAATAGTGGAAGGAAGATTACGAGAGAACCGATGCGTCTTAACACCGCCGAGACCTGCGCCGTCTCCGTCTCCATCGACGAGTTGACCGGTCTGTCAGAGAATTAAGACATTCACGGTCATTTTCACTTCAACCACACTTGGCTATGGCCCATACGCGGTTCCGTCCCGCTCTGTTAAGGGATTGCCGACCAAAGTTGCAATAGCCACCCAGGGTCTTCGAGCGTGCTTGGCTTGGATAACATCCCCATCACTCGGGGTAAAGTTAGAGTTAACTTATTGCTTTACGATCTCTTCAACCCCGGGGCTCATATCATCTGCCTATAGCTTACATAGTAGCAGCAACTCTATTCTTTCCTCGAAGGCTTCAGCGCAGATATCGCGACATGGATATTGAGAAAGAGTGGTTTCTTGCTGGGCGTAACGGAATCCGAAGGTCTCGTCAGCTCTAACATGATCGTATTTCTCTCATTAACACAACAACATTTTGACTTTTATGAACCAACCTCATGACCCGCAATCCAAACAACCCCGCGGGAGTTCCAATTCTCACAATGGTGCTCAAGCAAACTGTCGCTTTTTACTAAACATCACATTGTCAAGCTCTTCTTCAACGAGGTCTATCACTCACTATTCCACGACTTCTTTGATGATGGGTCCAGAATTCCTCCCCCGGTACCGCCCTAGGTTGTCGTAACCCAGGGCCCGCGTACAAAGCTTATGCATGGCCTGAATCTGCATCGTCTGGATCACAAAAAAAGATCAAATCCATAGTTTAGGTGATTGCCGCGGCGCATGACTACACTAATATCAATGTGTCCATAATTGACAACTCCTACGCATTTCCAAAGCCGGTGTAGGACCCATTGCTGAAGCGAAGTGTTGCACTTGCAGACACAAACAAGCAGGTTTTGCAATTGTTCACCGATAAGCATGAGAATGTGTGCTCAAGGGTCAAGCCAAAGGCTGCAATGCCGCTTCATTCGGTTCACTCGCAAAGGTAAGAAATATTGTTGATGAAATATAATTTTGCTTGTACGCACTTAGCAAACCAAGGCGTCTTTAGTCCCAATATCGATTAGTTTGGGCCATGGAAAGACGTTTGTATGTTGCGTCCGCATTGGCTATGTCTGCCACACCAAGGTGCTTAGAAAAGTGCTGGCCAAGCTCGGTGCATGTATTGAGAACGAGTTTGCAAAGCAGGAAGATGACTTAGTGCGTATGCAGAGGGGAGAGAAGAAGAAAATGGGACAGGAGGAAGTATAATACGGCTACGGCGAATGCTGGCCAATTACTCAAAAACCTTTCAATCGAAGTCATCCTACCCGTTTCTGTCTTACCTTCCGCTTCCCAGGCCGGGATAGGATGAGAAAGAGGAAGCAACCCGTTGAAGCGGCCGGCGTAATCCCGTTGCAGCGATTCGCTCAATACCGGAAGAGACCCACTTCTCCACGAAAACACGTGCCGTCGCGGCCGGCGCGATTTCGGGACCCCTGCAAAAAAAAAGTTTCGCCTAGGGGAGAAAAAAGTGCTGTATCAGACCATCCTGTCTTCAATGGGTCCCTACTCCCTTTTCTTGTAATTCCACCTTACCCATTCCTTTCCCTCCTTCCTCCGTTCTGTTTGAGCCGCGCACACTTTGGTCACGATGAGGGCTCCCAGGGCCGTCAGAGTGCCGAATGGCGGCCTCTTTACAGGCGCAAAGCCTTCGAGTAGGGACTTGCGGCACTTCAGCTTCGCCGTCAACGTGAACGCCGCCACCACGACCCAAGCGACACCGGCGTCATGGAAGCTCGCCAGCCAGAAATCCTCCAGCCGCGCCTTCTCCACGACCACCCGTGCCAGGTCGGCCGCCGCTGAGGCTCTGCGCATGGCCCAGGAGAACGCCGCAGCCCTGACCCCCGAGCTTGTCGCCGCCAAGATGAGCCCCGAGGAGGCCCAGCGCCTTTCTCGTGTGCGCAACATTGGTATCGCCGCCCACATCGACAGCGGAAAGACCACCTGTACTGAGCGAGTCCTCTTCTATACCGGCAGAATCAAGGCCATCCACGAGGTTCGTGGCAAGGACTCTGTCGGAGCCAAGATGGACTCCATGGATCTCGAGAGAGAAAAGGGCATCACCATCCAGTCTGCGGCCACGTTCGCCGACTGGAAGAAGATGGAAAACGGAAAAGAGGAAAGCTACCACGTCAACATTATCGATACTCCCGGTCACATTGACTTCACCATCGAGGTCGAGCGCGCTCTGCGTGTTCTCGATGGTGCTGTCATGATTCTGTGTGCAGTCAGCGGTGTTCAGTCCCAGACCATCACCGTCGATCGCCAGATGAAGCGCTACAACGTCCCCCGCATCAGCTTTGTGAACAAGATGGACCGCATGGGTGCCAACCCCTGGAAGGCCGTCGAGCAGATCAACAAGAAGCTCAAGATCCCCGCCGCCGCCATCCAGGTCCCTATCGGTGCCGAGAACGAGTTCCAAGGTGTCATCGACGTTATTGAGAGAAAGGCTTGGTACTTTGAGGGTCCCCGTGGCACCCAGGTCAGGATCACCGAGACCCTGCCTGGTGGCTACCAGGACATCGTCGAGGAGAAGCGCCAGGAGCTGATTGAGAAGCTTGCCGACGTCGACGATGAGATTGCCGAAATCTTCTTGGAAGAGCAGACCCCGACCATCCCCCAGATCAAGGCC